ATGCAGAAACACATGGAGGCTTTTAATGTCATTTCCCATTCACGCAATCTTTCTTTTTTTCTTTGTTATTTAACGCCGCACTCTAATATTCCAGGTATATGGCGGCGGTTTGTAAATAATCGAGTCTGGACCAGACAATCCAATGATGGATATCATGAGCATCGATCCACGCAATTGGGATACGATGACATGCGTCAACCAAGACATCGAGCCTGACCACCATATACCGTTAGTCGCCTCTTACGACAATCTGAAGTCATGCAATCATATATGCCTAACAATGCTCACTCACAGAAAGAGACTTGTGCAAATGAAACATTAGGAGTTTTCAATCCTGTTCCATAGATAATCTCAGTTCGAGTTAAGAGAGAGTGAGTGAGTGAGTGAGTGACTGATAAGGGTTTATGGCAGCTTTGAAAAGTTTTATAGACCGCCTCCATGATCTAGTGGATGGATCGTCTGCCCGGAGATTGGAATGGTCGGTGGTTCAATCCCCGTACCAAAAGAGGTTAAAAGATGGTACTTGTTGTTACTCTGGCTGCGCTCGGCGTTAAAGGGCTTAAACGAGGTCGGATCGTTTTTTGCGTGGGTTGTCAGCATGGTATCTCAGTTGGCTAACAGCATAAAATTGACTAGGACTAGGACAAGCAGCCCAAAACATTATACGTACACTAATCTTGAACGTGACGTTAAACCCCAGTATTCAAGTTATATCACTGCGTGTCAGCTTTATATTGAAGGAATGTCTGTAGTGATGCAGGTCATACGCGTGTACCACTTTTGTGACACACATGAGCACGGATATTGTGCTGGTCGATTACTTATCATAATGAGGGCGGATTTGGGATTCGAACTGACGACTATGGATCCTCAAACAGAAAAGGGACGCAACTCTATACACCGAATGTCGTCGCTTTATACCACCCGTGCCCCTTTCAAGCTATGATTGTGAACCTATTTTGATGACATCTTACGTTTTTTGTATATGCGAGGATAATATTAAATACGACCTGTGACCTGTAAGTATTTTTCAACGTCGTCCATTGCCCGACTTATATAACGTGTTGCAGAGTGAAAAGACGTACTGTTATATTTCTGAGTTAAAAACAACTGCCAACCCAGTGCATTTAAATCGCTATCATTCCTTAAACGTTTAGACGCGAGAGATTGTATTTACTGTGCACGGCGGTGTGTTAAGTATTGCGTGGTTGGATAATGGTATTGTGTATGACAATTAACATCAGGTCATACGACTCAAGATACACCAATAAACCTTGGAATCCGAATGCTTGTATACAATGGCACTATATTACCCTGTCTATTGGATATACAGATATTTCATAATTATCGTAATAAGCTGTTCTCTTTATGTTAAAGAAACAAAGGTATATAACCCATTTTGAATTAAAACATTTGAATTTATCGAAAGCATTATTCAAAATAGATACATTACCGTTACAGAAAGATATTCCTTATTTGTTGTTTTTAATAAATATGCTTTCAGCTATAATAAATTTTGAAAACTTTTAAAAAGATAACAGCAAAATATAATTATACATGTAATTATATAATTATAAACTATTATACAGTCATGAATATAGCAAGGATTTTGCTCAAAGGAGTGTAAAACCCTGGTCATTCCACTCACTAAGAGATATTCATACCACTACAATTTCTAATATTAATTCGGTATCCAAATATTTAACCAAATATTTCTTCCAAGGAGGCAAGCACTAAACCTAACTCGGTCATCTGACAGACTGTAAGATAAGCAACAATAGCTTGGTTTGATTGATCCGCCTTTGATTGGCTGAGCGAATACACTGTAATCACGAGGACTCACTCGGACACGGCCGCCACCATTGCTACTAGGAAACACGTGCTGCGACGGCCGCCAGGGGCGCTCTCAACCTGACAGAGGTCGGGACTGACACTTCATGAAATACCTTGTAGGGAAACCGAACATACAGTGACAATGAGTAACAAGAAGGCATATGGTTGATAAAAGAATATTTTCAACCTAAGATCGAAAACATTTACTGAACATAGTTTAACATAGGTAATGTTGTGTGAAATAGACTAATTTGTATGAACACGATCGCATATTATATTTATTATGGAATATTATTATTTTATTTTTCATTTTTAAACGATACGGTTGTTTTTTTATGTCTGTCAACTTTAGCTACTCACTGATGTTTGATAAAACTATCCTTCACTTGCCCCCCTGTGGTGTGATCAAATTTATCTTTTTAAGTATGATTTTTTTGTTTCAAGTCTAAACAGGATTAGGCTTGAGCAACAATGTTGTAATCGAGAGCCTAAAGAAGGTACAGAAATGACACACGTAGACTGTTACAATTTCCATAACTAAGAAATGTGGGGGATTTTGAAATAATATTTGAAGCTTTTTGGAAGTGGTGGCTTGACTGAGAACTGGAGAATCTATTTCCTGCGTAAGAACGCATATAAACATTTATATGGAGTAATTGTAAACATATGCGAAAAAGGTCAATGGTAATGTTTTGTTTTCCATTTTTTCAGTATGAGCAAGTATTTCACAAACTGTTGTAGCTATGTTATAAAAACGCATGTTGTAAAAACGTGTGACTGATAGAAAGAAAGAAAAGCCTAGTTTAAATGAAATAGGTGTTGAATCTCCCCAATTTTGAATTTCCTATGATCCAGAGAGCCAAAATTAGCCTTCGATATATATAATTTTTCTTATGAGATTTCTTATGATTATCGAAACGGATTTCTTTGTTCATTTACATGAGACTTATTTTGAAATATGTGTCAGTACTCCACTCTGAGGCTTTGACACTAAAACTCAAAACTACCCAACCACATTCTGCTAGATAGAAAAAAATGCATATTTACTTATCAACTAAAAAAATCCAACAAAACATCTTTGCTCGTCTTTCTAAATAGTTTGAAATATTTTCGTAGATTTGAAAACATATAGAAGAATATACTTGTTTTCATTTCAAGAGACACTTTGACAACTGTGGATATTTATCTAAATAGTTCTCATAACCTACCTTAAGTATTCACGTTTTCCCTTCTATTCTGCGAACAACCAACGATCTCGCCACCAAAGGGTGCTAAGAAATACGTTCCTGCAGATTCCGTTTGGTGTCCCATGGAAGAAGGGAAAACGAGAGGCCGTCAAATTGTAATCATATTCATGATAGTTCTTTATCTGAAACGTTCGAATTTAAATATATGCAAATAATTGATTAAATTCCATGCCAAAGAAATGCAAAGTGATAAGAGATAAATCTTTGAAAAGGTGTTTTATATCCCGAATGTCATTGTGCTTGAGAAGAATATGTTTTGAGTTCTAGTCAACAAATAATACTCTGTTATCTAGCTAAAGTGGGTCTACTTGACAGATATCTAGCTGATATACTGGTATATTATAAAGATAAATTCTTATCCCAAATAATAAATAAATGCAGTACATGGGACTCAGAAATTCATAAATTCAGGCATAATTCCCTTACAACTATGAACAATTCAACACTACCTTTGTCAACGTTTTTTAGCAAAAACACATACATGCTAGTCACTCACGGTGAAATTATTTATTTCCTGAAATCAGGCAAAAAATATCATTTAGTTCAATAGATTATGTTGCTGAAATTTGGCAATTCGGCTTTGTAATTCAACGGGAGTTGCTTCATTTAGTAAACCTTTAGAATTAAATGCATACATAATTTTAGAAAAATGATATTTATAAGATCCCACGTGTTAAGCGTATACGTGATCAGCTAAATTGTTTTGAAAAAGTCACCACCTCTTGTTATCATGTTAACGTTTAGTCTCCTGCGTTCTAATATGTGTGGTTATTTTAATTATTGTTATTAGTTTATATCCTGTACATTATGGAAGCACGACATCACCATAACTGCATATTCTCCCTATAATATTGTACATGACAGATACTGTCAATCACACGAAACATATTTTTGCAAATGTCAACATGTATTTTCGCGGACACTTTCACGGGACACTCAACTGTAAACTATGTTGTTATCAACTGCAGAGGTAATGAGATTTAAGGGTTCAGGAGGATACCCGCTCAACCATAGCGATAATGAGATAGTTATACTGTTATATAATTATACACATTATTGGTAATAAATTGGCTTGAACCGAAATTGTAGGTATATTATGAAATGAAAATAGCTAGTTGTTGCATTCTAACTTGAAAACTATTCTGAATTAAGAGAAAAATATTTCGGGAAATATTTGATCATGGATATACATTCGTAATGACATCGAAACGGTTTAGGTCGGTTTAATACGACATGTTAAATGTCTTGTACATATACACCCTTTCCCTGTATAACATCAACATGAAATTTACCCTGTAACCATGAGTATGATTGTAAATACAAAACCTCAACACAATTATCACGGACACGATTATCCACTGAAACAGATTCCATTGGGCTTAAAAGTCAAAATAGTGTTGAAAATTATATCATAATGAATGAATCACTGAAAATCAGCGATGACACCATTTTCGAGAAATGTGTAAGCTTATCCTTCCATAACGGTAGCCTCTCCGCCTCTCACAAAAAATGGAAATGTGTGTTGCCCAACGCCACACAGTAATACTCCTACTATGGGACGGCCGTCTGTAAACAAACCAGATGATGGACCAGAAAATCCTATGACAGGATACGGTATTTACCGATATTGTTGAACTTAAAACTCAGGAGAGAACCGTGTAAGTGATTAATTTGTGTCCAATCCTGCTGACTTTATCAATAAACGTATGCTTTAATCTATAAAGCTGGTAATAGATTTCGCCTCCGAATGATGATGATGATGATGATGATGATGATGATGGTGATGATGATAATGTTATCGATGAAAATGATGATGATGATGATGATGATGATGATGATGATGTTATCGATGTCTGTTCTGTAACAATTGACCATTTTTTTGTTTGTCTTCATTGATGGCAATTGTGTTTATTTTTGCAGGGGCCCAGTACCCAATTGAAGACGAGAACAAGCGAACGCGTACCGCCTACACTCGAGGCCAGTTGTTAGAGCTGGAGAAAGAATTCCATTTCAATAAATACATTTCCCGACCACGCCGGATAGAGCTAGCCGCCATGTTGAACCTTACAGAGAGACATATAAAAATATGGTTCCAGAATAGAAGGATGAAATGGAAGAAGGATGAAGCAAAGCGACGCCCGGCGCCCCGCTCCACGGGGAAACCCTCCAGTCCCATGTCCCCCACCCTCGACAGCGGGGAGGGTAGCCCGGGGGACATGACGGACTCCCCCGAGGGTCACCTGCCCGATGAGTTCTCCCCTGAAACCAAAGTAATACAAAAAGAACATATGAATGGTGATGGCGAAACGAGCAAGGATTACCATTCAGCCACTTGATGATCAGTGTAGTTGTGATCTAGAGATTGACTTAAGACTACGTCACCAGTCAGACTAGTGAATCGAAAAGTGCTGTGTTCAGAGGGTTGGAGATAAACCTACCGTTTGGAGAAGAAAACGTTAACAGATTGTGTGTTGGATATCGTTCGTGATATCTTCTTGAGACGAACTATATTATCCACGGAAACTACCTGCCCAAACTGACTTCGTTTACGAAGGAGTGGCATTGATATCCACGAGAAGGAATATTAGATAAAACTATTATTAATATCGAATTTCAATTTGTGTTTTGGTTTGCCAGGTTCTGGGGCGGGACATTCGACTGTAGATGTCTTCTCCCACCCTGCGTGGTACAGCCCGTCGTGTGTCTGTTGTTGTCACACACTCTGGTGTGGGTGCAGTTACGGTGGCAGCCTCTAGTCAAACTGCCCAACTGTGGAACATGAAAGGTGAAAGCTATGCAAATCTCAGATGGTCAGGAGACGAGCATTTGAACACGCTCACCACTAGCAGGAAGGCCATCGTAAAGCTGAGAATTGCTCTTTCGATTCAATGGACGATATAAACACTGATAGTTTGACATATAAATGTGTGTACCGTGGTGCAGCAAACTGATTCATTGTGGGTTTCTATACAGCAACGTAGACTGAAACCAAGTCAGCTGAGATACTTTGTATGGTGGACATTTACACATGGCGGTTCTCACCACCAGGACATGCATCTGGCGGGCAAGGCTGAGTTTAGGCATAGACGTATGATTTCTACCTTGTTGTGTTTCATAATAAACAATTATTGAGTAAACTAGATACAATACCTACAGTTGTGTCGTCATAATTACACATAGTATCTCAGTATGATTTAGGAATCAATTATGGAACGGCTAAGGGGACGAGTTGGTGTTGAGCATTGGTCTGTTGAATGTTGGCAGGTGCAAAGATGGGCAAATATTATTTCTGTTGTTTCTAAATCCTCACTACAAACGTCAAATCAATATATTTCGCATTTCATTAGTTCAAATTAGCCCCTGTGTTCGTGGGTTTCACCAAAGTTGTAAACGTCTCTATCTAAACAATGTGTGCTACGCTGACACGCCGTGACATAACAGACAGACAGACAGACAGGCAGGCAGGCAGGCAGACAGACAGACAGACAGACAGACAGACAGACAGGCAGTTTATTGGTATATGTGTCCAAAAGACCAATAGTACATCATGTTTAAATGAAGGCTTAAATGTTACAATGAGCGCACCTTAATATAGGCTTTACAAGTCACAAAAGACATTAGTTCACAAGCGGACTGTTCTCTTTCGAAATATATGATAAAATAATAGAGATCGCTTAAATAGGAGATTATCATCATTAGTCTGTATTAGTATAAGAGGGCCTTATTACAAAATACTGGGTAAATATGTCATTCTTATGTTATAGTATTCCGGGCAAATCATTACCACGTGATATCAATCTTCAGTACCATGGTAGCAGTAGAAAACATGTAGTATTTGGCGTTTCAGGAGTTTTGGAACATCTGGGGGCTCTGATATGCAAATCATAACAATTACATCTAAAAAAATTAATACACGGCGCATTTTTAATGCTTTTATAGCTACCAGATATCTCTAAGACGTAATGTGAAATTTGAAATGTGAATAGTAAGTTACGGAAGTCGACTCTTTGATATCGTCGTACCACTATTGTTGGTAAATGTCTTTAGATCTCGGTTTAAATAGACACAAGAATCGATCTTTATTTCCGACATCTTCGTAAATCCAGACATGTCCAAAACCAGCTTGGAATGGGATAGTTCGCACAATTAAATCCCAGTTAATATCTCCAACATCATAATTTGAATAAGTTGTAAAAGGCCATCTAGCAACTCTTATCCCGTAAGCTACAATGTATAACTCAAGAACGGACATTTACTTAGACATAACTTAGGCTGTTCAAAGCATATGTCCGCTCCCCTATTTAGACCAAACGATGGACCGAAGAAGAGTATACTGAAGAAGAGTTTGATTTGCCTGAAAAATGTAGACTTACAATATTCCGGACATATGGCTTGATACAATCAGTGTTGTAAGGCTAACGGCTTGGAGGCATGGATGTGTCTCCCGCATTGTAGACTCAGTTGACACTCTCCGTGGGCCTAATCCTTTGTTCTTCGAGGGATGCATGGCAGAGTTGAAAACATCTCTATAAGCAGCATCTTTGGCAGAGTAGGATATATGCTATAACCGTCATTGATGAACCGAAAATGTAGAACGATACCAAGGATGCGTTTTGTGTTACAAATGTATTTGACCAAAACACCTTTCGGGTTGTTTCTGCTTATTCGTGTATCCTCTTTAAACCTCGCCGTCCACTTCTACCAACCCACCCACCAACCCACCCAGTATAAAGTACTTCAGTAATCTATCTACAACCACCACCACCACCATCGCTACTACTACGACCGCTACCATTACTGCTACTGCTAATCCGACTACCACAACTACAACCACCACAATTACTACTACTACTACTACTACTACTACTACTACTACTACTACTACTACTAATAATAATAATAATAATAATAATAATACCACTGCCACTGCCTGTTACTAATCCAACTACATGTACTTCTACAACCACTACTGCTACCACTACAACCACTACTGCTACCATTACTGCTGCTACTAATACTACCACAACTACAACATCCACAATTACTAATCCAACTACTACTACTACCACTGCCACTGTCTGCTACTAATCCGACTACTACTACAACTCCAAGTACCACCACTACTAATTCAACTACATATACTTCTACAACCACTACTGCTACCACTGCGACCACTACTGCTACAACTACAACCACTACTGCTACCACTACGACCACTACTGCTACCACTACTGCTGCTGCTAATACTACCACAACTACAACAACCACAATTACTGATCCAACTACTACTACTACTACTACTACTACTACTACTACTACTACTACTAATAATAATAATAATAATAATACCACTGCCACTGTCCGCTACTAATCCGAGTACTACTACAACTACAAGTACCACCGCTACTAATCCAACTACTACTACTATGACGTACTCCGCTGCTGCTACTACTACCTCGCCCACTACTACCTCTACTACTATTACCACTACTCCTTATTCCACTGCTAACATTACTCCGGAAACGGAATTTCTGCTCAGTTCCCTTCCCGTGATTTACCCACCAGAACCAGAAGTAACAGAGACCAGTGAAACCACCTCATCTTTTTCTTATTCAGATCTATTCATAAAGATTCTGACAAACACACTCCACAAGACTGTATGACAACAGGGCTCACTTCTACTGTCAAGTCGTCAACTTTCCCTTTATGTCTAGCATCTTTCTAGCAGCTCCAGTCCGAGGTGTCTACATTTGAACACTTTTGAGGTACAATCGAGCAAGCTCTTTCTAAGAAGATTTTAAAGAGCGTCAAAAAACTCTTGCTTAAAAGTTGTATGATCAGGGTTGCCACATTCAAGGCCTCATAAAGCTTTTAAAATGTTTTGTGGTGGACATGTGGTGGACATTTCCAAATTTAATACATCAGTGACGAAAATGATGTCCTATGCAATTTCTTTTTGACTTGTATCATATGTCTTGTGTCCCGGTGAACTGTGTGGAATTGTTTTTTTGTCGCGTAAATATTCCATTGATTCTTTCCTTCCACTGTCTTTCCCATGTCTACTACAACCAGAGTTTTGGCTACTATGATATCAATACTGGCGTCTTCATACACATCGTAGTGACGTGATACACTTTTAGGTCCTCGGTGTCTAAAAACAATAAACAAAAAACAGAAACTACTGTTGACATAAATGATTTATAGATGATAGTGATTCATAAACAAATGCTCGTCATAAAGTCGGAATCGTACAATCGACTGTTTTGGGAAGAGGTTTCTTATGATTATGGATGTTGCTTTTATTATCATTAATTTGTTAGTTGTCACATTTACCCAAGAAATCAAATCTCGTATCAAGAATAAAAAAAAATAAAAAAATTAATATCAGGATAAACGTTGACATGATAGAGTTATAGTTGGGCCTGGAATGAACACCCTGATTTACAAAAGATATATGTGAGTATTATTATTGATATTCCATAGAAGGTGATGATGATATGAAATCAATGTGGCAGAAGATGGTTCTTGGGATTTTAATAATGAAATGTACACTAATTTTGTTTTTATGAAAAATTATAATTCGCTGAGGTGTTATAAAACGGGAATATAGCTACATTTGTTGAACTTCTTGTAATTTAATAGTGACTGATTAAAATACTCTTATGATATGTTTGGAATCGTACAATGGATATTGGACATTATTGTCGCGCATAGACGCATTATAAACGTATACAATGCGTACTGGTTTCTGTCAAATTGCCGTGTGCTTGTTGCTGGGAACATTATCAACGCTCAGTTCGAGGAAACTTGGCTATTGTGACAACATTAATCCAACTGATATATTGTGTTTATGTCCTACATTCAAATACAAAACTGTGTATGAGGTACGGAGAGCATCCGGTACACCATACTGCGAGGCTGTATATCTAATTCAGCCGAATGTATCGAATATATATTTTCCGTATCGAAAATACCTTTATGAATACATGAAAAGTAATAATTTTGTTAGTGTTTGTTCACAAACCTACGTGGGCTGTGATGTTCATGAAGCTAAATTAAAAGTAATACCCTAATGAAATAAAACCAACTGAATAGTTTACTTTAATTACGACTATACGCAACCTACCTTAAATTTAATAAATACAATAACAAGGATATAATAATACTAAACACATTGTTTCGGTACATTGTGGATAATTTAGTGCTCGAAATGTTATTTTCATATTATGTAATCGTCAATTTCTTAGCCTCTATTTTGTTAGAATGTGAATCAGTGAATTTAATAGTGAACATCGCGTGCGTGATGTCCCCAACGGCAAATATAAAGAAAACATCTAAAAAAAATATTATTATTATTATTATTATTTACAGATTAAAATAAAAATGCCGCAAAGAGGGTTTGGGTGATCCTGGCACAGTCAGGCCGGTTAGGGTCATCATCAGCTCAGGGCCCTTGCCCCCTCTACACGCAGCCCAGACAGCGAATGAACTTCTTCTTCTTCTTCTTCTACTTCTTCTTCTTCTTATGATGATGATGATGATGATGCAGTCTTCCTGCAGATTGTTGGACTTCTGGGCACAACTAACCACTTGTCAAGACAGGATACCTGGGTGCTTTATTTACGCGTGGATAACACAATTCTATGTCGAGTTTACTTTCCATTTCCAACTGCTGTACATATTTAGCGGGGAATGAAATTAACCATCCATTTCAGCCTCACGTGTGTAGAGACAAAACTAATTGCAACATTATTTGAATTTGTTAAAAGGTTTGTTTTGAAATAAGTTCTTAGCCTCTATTTTGTTAGAATGTGAATCAGTGAATTTAATAGTGAACATCGCGTGCGTGATGTCCCCAACGGCAAATATAAAGAAAACATCTAAAAAAAATATTATTATTATTATTATTATTATTATTATTATTATTTACAGATTAAAATAAAAATGCCGCAAAGAGGGTTTGGGTGATCCTGGCACAGTCAGGCCGGTTAGGGTCATCATCAGCTCAGGGCCCTTGCCCCCTCTACACGCAGCCCAGACAGCGAATGAACTTCTTCTTCTTCTTCTTCTACTTCTTCTTCTTCTTATGATGATGATGATGATGATGCAGTCTTCCTGCAGATTGTTGGACTTCTGGGCACAACTAACCACTTGTCAAGACAGGATACCTGGGTGCTTTATTTACGCGTGGATAACACAATTCTATGTCGAGTTTACTTTCCATTTCCAACTGCTGTACATATTTAGCGGGGAATGAAATTAACCATCCATTTCAGCCTCACGTGTGTAGAGACAAAACTAATTGCAACATTATTTGAATTTGTTAAAAGGTTTGTTTTGAAATAAATCTTTAAAAAAAACGTTGGGATCGATCTTTCACACCCATCACACTGTCCTGAAAAAGATTATCGAATACGTGTGTTAATGAATGTACACATTGGTGATCTATCTATAGATATTCTATATTACCATTTATAGAAATTAAGTCAAATCTGAAAAGTATAACTTTATTCGCTTCCAGGTGTTTTTGACATGCTGATTCTGTCTACCATGGCCGGTATTCCCCCAACTACTTAACGCGGAACATCTACAACACAACTCATTCAAACGTTAAAATTCAGAGAGTATGAAATAAACGTTTTGAGAGCATTTTGTCCAGTAATAATAGTGTTGCCCTTGGTTTGGCGAAGAAAGAGTAGTAAACAACATGAAACTACGCACCTGCACTTCAATTGGTCAATTTCATTTGGGTATAGATATATACTGAAAATCGTCCACTCTTGTAATCATTAAACAAGGTATAGTTTATATGAATGATGCTTTGAGTTGCAAACTGTGCCATTGTTTATCTGCAGATCACTTCCGCGTTTTTATATCGGAATTACAGAACAATAATTTGGTACTTGTCTTGGGTTGAGTCTGGGTCTTCCTCAGAAAAAGCTGGAATATTTCATGCTCCTACAACTAAGGTTTATAAAAAAACAATAAACTACTACTACTACTACTACTACTACTACTACTACTACTACTACTACTACTACTACTACTGCTGCTACTGCTACTATTACTTCTCCTACTACTACTACAATCGTGGTATGTGGGAACCGCGTCGTGGCGAGGCACGGCTTATGGGCATTTTACCCCCGCTTCTGACAGTTCAAGCAGACCATATTGAACCAGGGCCCACGCTGTGATACGATTGTTCTGCAGGAGTGAACAGACAGGGATCAGAACCTTGTAATTAAATGACTACTTCTCCTGTGGACAGGACAGTATCTACTGGGCCACCCTACATACATGTACTACACTTACTCCCTTTGTACTTTTCTACTCAAACTCTGAATAACAAGCAAACTAGTGCGGTACAAATAAAGGATCGGGACACAACATCATCATCATCATCATCATCATCATCATCATCATCATAAGAAGAAGAATGATGATGATGATGATGATGATGATGATGATGATGATGATGATGATGATGACAGAGAGTAGTTGGATGGGTGACCACGTTGAGCAGCTTGACTCCTGAGCGTTTCTAGGGCTTCGGTCCTGCCCCACACTGAACCACATGTACCACATGTGGTGTCTCCTTAGGCAAGTGACTTTGTTCGAAATGTGCCTCTGTTCACCAAGCAGTGAGTGGGTACCAGGTAGGATATTATTATTATTATTTTATTTCCAAGTTACGTTAGACTTACGACTGCTTTGTGAATCGGTACCCTGGTGGCTGAGGTGTTTATGAGTGTGATCTAAGATGGCGGAATTGGAGCCATGTTGTCGGTTGTTCTGTGGTGTTCTGTGATGCGGATGGTGAGGGAAGTTGATGGATGTTGATGTTTCGGTGTAGTTTTCTCCACAGCTGCATTTGATCTTGTGCCAAGTGGGTGGAGTTTGGGTGTTGTTGTTATTGTCGGTTTGACTGTAGCCGGGATGACTCTTCAAGGTGCTGGTGGTGTTGGTGTGGAGTACTGTAGACGATGTCTATTTTGGATCGTTTGAGGAGTCTTCTTTCTGGCTGGCTTGTCCAATGTATGGGAGATATATCGTGAATGATGCTGTCTTCTGTTTCTGTCTACTGGTTCCAGGTTGTAGTGTGGAACTGATGTTTCTGTTGACGAGTGTAGCTGGGTATACATGTCCAGGGGGATCCAGTTCTTGTTGGAGAGACTCAGGTGTTGACCAGTTGTTGTTTGATCTACTGGTGAGGCCGCTAGAATATGGTGGCAATATGGTTTTTTTTTAAATGATTCTTTTATTTTGCGTTTGCTGTCTTGCCCGTGGTCGTCCTGATGCGACCGTTGTGATACTCTAATATAGCATGCTTCTCAGAGAACAAGACCTCATGTTATCACAGGCTACAAGGTTGCTACCTCAGCTGCAGACCGACGGGCCCATAGAACAAGACCACTGGTAACGCATCGTCACATCCAGTTAGTTCTTATGAGTGAAAATATATCGAGTGATACATAATTCGACACAGGCGGAGTGCCGACATTTGACGATACAGAAGATAATAACATAAACAATCATGACATAAAGACACGTTGTTAACCACGTTCTAGAGAGGGGTAAGGTCACACGCTGTCAACCACGCCACAAAGAGGGGTACGGTGACACACTGTCGGACACGTCATAAAGAGGGGTACAGTGACACACTGTCAGCCACATCATAAAGATGGGTGAGGTCACACGCTGTCAGACACGTCATAAAAAAGGGGTACAGTGACACACTGTCAGACACGTCATAAAGAGGGGTACAGTGACACGCTGTCAACTACGTCATAAAGAGGGGTACAGTGACACGCTGTCAACTACGTCATAAAGAGGGGTACAGTGACACGCTGTCAACTACGTCATAAAGAGGGGTACAGTGACACGCTGTCAACTACGTCATAAAGAGGGGTACAGTGACACACTGTCAGCCACGTCATAAAGAGGGGTACGGTGACACGCTGTCAGCCATGACATAAAGATGGATGAGGTCACACGCTGTCAGACACGTCCTAAAGAGGGGTACGACGACACGTTGTTAACCACGTCACAGAGACAGCTCTAACACCACTCAGGGCACCCGCCAAGGTAGGTAACTCTAGTGCTGGTTTTCCCACCTCACAAGGGGAAAGAGCTCCCGCCGTATTTTTTACGGGCGTTTCAGGTGGCCGCGGTTACGTCAGTTTTAGTGCAGCTGTGTAAAAAGGTCTTAGACCATGGCATAAACATTGCGAAAAGATGGCGTAAACTATACGAGCGTGTAAATTTACGACTGCTTTGTGAAACGATACCCAGGGTCCAATTCTGACCCGGCTTCCCCACGGGGATCTAAATTACAGTCCAGACCCACCTTTGGCAATTGATGAACAGGGACATGGGTTTGGGATAGTAGAATACATCCTGATGTCGTCATCCTTTTTACAAAGCCCCTTGATAAGGCATTGCAAGCCATTGTGTACTCAATGTGGCATAAATGTATACTGTATGTGGTCCCTAGGGTCCGTGCCCCACCCAACCCAGTCAGGCTTAAAAGGTGATAACAAATGTACCTGTGCAGTAATACGACTTTATTGACCCATGTTAAAACTGATTGAGGAAATGAGTTACAAGAAGGAGACAAATTCCACCTCCAGCAGCTCCAGTCGCCCTTAACGAGTGATTTTACGCACTTGAGAAACACGTTGATAATAGCCGATATAGCGTGGCTGCAGGATGCTTTTATTCACTGTATGTCTTGTAGAAGACTCTGGCTCCAGGTCTGTGAGTGGACAGTGTGACGTCATCGAACAGCGTGCATGTGACGTTCACATGGATGAAGTAGGTGCATTCTGGGCACGCCTCGAGACACAGGGTCGAGCATTCCTCCACTGACTGGACATCCACTGGTGGCTTCATTGATTGGTCAGTTGTGTCCACGTCAACTGCGTGCAGGATGAATCTAGCTGCTGTTTCACGACGCACTGTTTCAAAAGAAAATTGTAGTAAAGAAGGAATTTCATTTTGTAGATTTGTGAGTTTCCTAGATTAAAGTTCTTGTTGAAAATGTCAATCTTTTTTAACTTACCTTCCTTTCCACAGAGTGCAAAGAATTTCTCTCTGCAGAAATAAGATGCCCACAAATAGCTCGTATCAGGCATCATGCGCACGCATTTCTTAATGGAGTCTGGTTCCCCTCTCCCCCAGTTCCCCAACACGCGACTGGTCCGATTGACATAGGAGAAGTGACCTTGAGTGTACTTGATCCCAATCCACACGTGAGTTCCAGCCGAGTTCCTGGAACTAAGATGGTAAAAACCATGTTACCTGTGACATCTCTGAATAAATCAAACGCTTAATCCAAACATACTCTGTTCAAGTTCCCATCTGGAAGAGATGGTTTCTATCGGGAAAATGGCGAAATATTTCTACATGATGTCCCTTGGTATAATGCGTGGTAATATGCTTCACTGCACAGAAAGGTGAATTGTTTGATAGGCATGACTTAGAAGTTGACGGATGACAACTTCTTTAATACTGTAAAGGCGACATTTCGGTATATATCCTTATACCGTTGTCAAGCAAGACTGAAAGAGGAACATTGTACAGAATGTGTATGGTAGGTGGAGGATGTATGCAATCATTGTTACTGTTACTCCTCCACCTACTATGTATATGCTGTACAGTGTTCCGCATTCATAAATACAAGTATACTCAATTTTTGTTTAGTGGTACTTAAGAAAACTTATACATTGTATTTTCTTGAGAAAGTTGTTTTTAATAATTTGAACACGTTATGGTCTCCAGCTTCCATGATTTGAGAACCGTGTAGATCCGGGGTAGTATAGGTCTTCAGCAAACCATTCTTGCCGTAAAAGGCGACTATGCTTGTCCTATGAGGCGGCTTACGGGATCGGATGGTCAGACTCGCTGACTTTGTTGAAGCATGTTATCGATCCCAATTGCGTGGATCGATGCTCATGATATCAATCACTGGATTGAATGATCCAGACTCGACTATTTACGGATCGACGTCATATAGCTGTAATATTGCTGAGTGCGGCGAAAACCCAGCCAACCAAACAACCATGATTTGAGCCCAGTTGAAGGCCGATCGGCATGTTTCGTTTGGATACTTCCGGTGACCAGTGTGGATAGTGGTTACTGCGAAACCTTAATCAGTTTAGTCAGGGCGCAATAGGAGAACAAACCATGCGCGATATGAATTGGGGGGGTGCTTGGTGCACGGATAACTCACCTCGTGTATCGGACAGCCTTCTGAATCAGGGTGTGGGAATCCAGTATGGCCAGGTCTGTGTAGCCCAGGTGCTGACATCTCACCTGGGCATCTGTGAAGCCGTACCTCTCCTCTAGCAGCAAGAACTTGTACGCACAGTGACCTGGAACAAATTCACGCCATCACATTGACACAGTGACACCGACACAGTGACAAGGACACAGTGATACCGACACAGTGACACGGACATAGTGACACCGACACAGTGACGCCATCACAGTGAGAGCGACACAGTGACACCGACACAGTGACGCCATTATAGTGAAACCAGCACAGTGACACCAACACAGTGACGCCATCACAGTGACACCGACACAGTGACACCGACATACTGACACCGACACAGCGACACAATCACAGTGACACCGACACACTGACGCCATCACAGTGACACCGACGCAGTGAAACCGACATAGTGACACCAACAAAGTGACACCAACACAGTGACACCGACACAGTGACACATCACAGTGACACCAACACAGTGACACCGACACAGTGAAGTCATAACAGTGACACCGAAACATTGACACCATCACAATGACGCCATCAGAGTGACATCGACACAGTGACACCGACACAGTGACACCAACACAGTGACGCCATCACAGTGACACCTTTACAGAGACTTTTACAGTGACACCGACACAGTGACACAGTGACACCGACACAGTGACAAGGACACAGTGATACCGACAAAGTGACACGGACATAGTGACACCGACACAGTGACACGGACACAGTGACACCGACACAGTGACACATCACAGTGACACATCACAGTGACACCAACACAGTGACACCGACACAGTGAAGTCATAACAGTGACACCGAAACATTGACACCATCACAATGACGCCATCAGAGTGACATCGACACAGTGACACCGACACAGTGACACCAACACAGTGACGCCATCACAGTGACACCTTTACAGAGACTTTTACAGTGACACCGACACAGTGACACAGTGACACCGACACAGTGACAAGGACACAGTGATACCGACAAAGTGACACGGACATAGTGACACCGACACAGTGACACGGACACAGTGACACCGACACAGTGACACGGACATAGTGACACCGACACAGTGACGCCATCACAGTGACACCGACACAGTGACACCGACACAGTGACACCAACACAGTGACACCGACACAGTGACACATCACAGTGACACCAACACAGTGACACCGACACAGTGAAGTCATAACAGTGACACCGACACATTGACACCATCACATTGACGCCATCAGAGTGACATCGACACAGTGACACCGACACAGTGACACCAACACAGTGACGCCATCACAGTGACACCTTTACAGAGACTTTTACAGAGACCCCGACACAGTGACACAGTGACACCGACACAGTGACAAGGACACAGTGATACCGACACAGTGACACGGACACAGTGACACCGACACAGTGACACGGACAAAGTGACACCGACACAGTGACGCCATCACAGTGACACCGACACAGTGACCCCATCACACCGACACCGACACAGTGACGCCATCACAGTGACACCGACACAGTGACGCCATCATAGTAATACCAGCACAGTGACACCGACACAGTGACGCCATCACAGTGACACCGACACACTGACGCCATCACAGAGACACCGACGCAGTGAAACCGACATACTTACACCGAAACAGTGACACCGACATAGTGACACCAACACAGTGACACCAACACAGTGACACCGACACAGTGAAGTCATAACAGTGACACAGACACAGTGACACCGACACAGTGACGCCATCACAGTGACACCGACACAGTGACGGCATAACAGTGACACAGAAACAGTGAACCCGACAGAGTGACGCCATCACAGTGAAACCAACACAGTGACACCGACACAGTGACGCCATCACAGTGACACCATCACAGTGACCCCGACACATTGACGCCATCACAGTGACACCGAAAATGTGACACCGACACAGTGACACCGACACAGTGACGCCATCGCAGTGACACCAACACAGTGATACCGACACAGTGACACGGGCACAGTTACACCATCACAGTGACACCGACACAGTGACACTATCACAGTGACACCGATACAGTGACACCGACACAGTGACACCGACACAGTGACACTATCACAGTGACACCGATACAGTGACACCGACACAGTGACACCGACACAGTGACGCTATCACAGTGACACCGACACAGTGACACCGACATAGTGACACCGACACAGTGTTACACATTTTGCGCCCTGTCGTTGTTCCATTCGCAAGAATTGGCATAAAATTTGAACTGCAAGATGACAATGCCAGAGCAGGTCCAGGTCGTCCCCGATTACCTCCGACGAGAAGACATACAGACATTGGACCGGCCCGCTAAATCCCGTGACATGTCGCAATAGAGCCTCTGCAGAATAGACTCGGGGGGAGGTCAAGAGTGTACGCCATAGACCCAGCACCGGCCAATTTGGTCCAGCTTGGGATAGCTCTTCGGGCGGAAAGGCAACCATAAGCTAAACAATATGCCGTCAAGGTGACGTGCATGTGTCGGCCAATATGGTGGACAAACCAGATATTGATCTACACGCCCGGAATTCATTTTATAGACATTTATCGTCATTACACTTTTACTTCGTAATTTCCCTTATTTTGTCTCGGCAGTATACTAGTATATACTCTGCAAAATAAGAAACGCGAAAGTTGTAAAAACGTAAATATTTGACAGAGTGTTGCTTCCATACAAAACATACAAAAATGAATTGGTCATTGCTGCATGGATTGTGATTGTGAGGAAAGAATTAGGTACTGCAGAAATTTGGTGAAAACATGGACAAATCGCAAAAAAACCCACAAGAACATGAGAGCTGATTGCATGCCATCACAATCTTTCAGCAAGTGAACCGCGAAAACATGCTACGACTGACCGAAGCCCAACGCAACAACAACACGTGACAAGACATGACCTACCCAGATCCGGTCGACCACGCATCGCTACCTGAGCACAGGACAGATTCATACGGCTACGTCACTTACCTGAAAGAACCACCACGGCCACCTCAACAACTACGGCAACAGCAGGGTTACGTAGGTTATCAACCCAGACAGTGAGGAACCGTTTACGCGCTGAAAGTATTCACGCTCGGATAAATTTTTAAGAAATACTTAACTTGTACAGATGCTCTGCGCATACATTCAAAAATGAGACTAGGAACAAAATTTCTTCGAATTCAATTAATAAACATTCTAACACTACCATTTTGACGGACCTGCATTGTCGGCTGCGACGTCAAAGATGTCAAGGTCACAGAGTATGGCCACAACTGCGATGGAGACACGTTTGGTTTAATGACGAGTCACATTTTATGCTTCGCCGTGCGGATGGTGGACGTCGTGTTTACAGGCGTCGCGGGGAATGTTATGCACGGAACAGCATACAGGAAGTAGACAGATTTGGTGTGTGATTATGTGGACAGCCATCTCCTACACTGGTACAACAGACTTGGTGCAAGTTCTGGGGAATTTAACAGCACAACGTTACACGGATGAGTTTCATCGGCCACACGTCCCTTCCATTTTTCAAGAAGCGAACGTCATTTTCCAACAAGGCAACGGCCGACCTCACACGGCAAGAGTGACAACAGCCTTTTTCAGGAATCACAATATCCAGGTCCTGTCATGGCCCTCTTGATCTCCAGGTTCAAACCCAGTCGAACATTTATGGGATGCACTGGATCAAAGACTGCGAGCGCGTCAGCAATAACCACGGGACCGCCGACAGTTGCCACAAGCACTGCAGGCATAATGGGTGAACATTGCTTCTTTTTTCCAGAGTAGAGATAGATAGATAGATAGATAGATAGATAGATAGATGGATAGATGGATGGATGGATGGATGGATGGATGGATGGATGGATGGATGGATGGATGGATAGATAGATAGATAATATACAAAAGTCCAAAGATGAGCTGTATAATTTACTCAACCGGTTTCACGCATGTGATTTCAAGAGTATATATATATACAAAAATGAGACAAGGAACAAAATTACTTCCATTAATAAACATTCTACCACTACCAAAACTCGATTTTGATTAATTAAACGGTCGATTCGATACCTTTTCGGTTCTAATTTAAATTGAGTGCCATCAAATCTACATATAACATGGTTCCATACTGACAAGACAGTCAAATCCAAAGATAAAATAGCTCCATTCAGTAAAAGAAACAGTCAAGTCTACGGATAACATAGCTGTATCCTGAATGTTTACCTCATAAATAAATTAAAGTACAAATCCTTCCTTTCAAAAACCAGAATATGAACCCATGTTAATGTCCCTGAAATGAATAAACCTACCTTGACACACATGAACCAGACCTGCTAGCAGAACCGCTGCGACTATACCAGGCTCCATAGTTAGCCGGCGACGTCGGGACCAGGCCCCAGAGTGTGTCTCACCGATCGGCGTCGCTAATTAGCACAGCCACAAACCTAACTCTCCACGTTAACACGTAACTCACGTTCTCAAACACGTCCATCGGGTGGATAATCACAGAGGATGATATGTATTTTGAAAGCATTAAACAGATGCCCATCGGATGGAGAAAGCACCGTACGTCAACACTGGGGCATGTGTTATCACATGGTCCCGGGGTTGTCTTTGGTTTAGTGAATGCACTAAATTTCAAGGCAGACAGTTGTGATCGAACACGTGATAGTGTAAGGCAACTATCAGTAATTGCATTGGTGTTGTTAGTGCTGCCGTGATACCGATATCTTCAGAGCAAGTGTATATGTTGGTTTTGCCATTGAGGTTTGTGGCATAAACTTCCATTAAATGGGAATCAGACTCCAGGACGAGGCTGAGCAAGTCGCATCGCGTGCTTGTTATGTTGCTCGTGGCTTTTCAGTCACAACTTTCCCTGATCTAGCCTGAATATACGAGGGTTGACTGATAAGTCTCTAAGCCTCACGTATAGGAATTGCGTAAAAGTAAAATCTTTTGTTGTGGACATTACATGATTTTAGAGGTAAATCCACAAAAACGTGAGCCAATTGAGTCGCTGTGACAAGTCAGCAAAATAAAGCAAGGATTTCTGACCTAAGGGAAATGGACCTTAAGCTACGGTCCAAGCCGTCCTGGTACGACGACGGGCAATCAACCAAGTCACCGCGTCTGACCACCCGATCCATTACGTTACCTCTCTAAGATAAGCATATATGGCTGCATCTTCCTGAGGCAATGGCGTTAACTGATTATAAAAAGTCCAGTTTTCACCCTTGTCGAACTAGGCTGGAATTTCCAGGCTCGATCGAAGCGCCTCTAGTGGCTTTTACGAGTTATGTCCCTTCCGTGTCCCTCTCATTGACCCATCAGATTCCACCTCTCAAAACAAAATAGCGGAGCCCAGTCAAGACGATCTGATTGATAATCAAGATTTATATTGTAATAAAACGGTCCTAGCCGTGCGAAGTGCATCAAATCACAAGGAAGGATTCGCAAAATACCTGTCGACGCCCAGTTGAGGCTAAAGATGCTTTGCAAACCCTGCACCAGACCGAAATCTGCACGTTGAAATCCATGTTGTTTGCGAACCTCATGTCTAGTTCGTCACGCGATTTTGATTGGACTATGCATAGACTCGTTTGTACAGCCAAAGTGTAACTCCGGAATTCCAGCCTATTTAGGCAAGGGGCTTTAATAGGCAGCTAACACTCTTGCCTCGGGAAGATGGGTTTTTTTTAGCCTTCAGTGTCCACGCGGGGCGACTCATGCAATATAGACCGAATTACCAAACCGAGATTACCAAACATTCTGCGGAATTCCGACGGGAAGTTCTGTGGACGAGATGACAAAGGTCAATCAGGGTGCTTCATGTGCAAGTGTTATGAGGTAAATATGTATTTAAAGGAATTTCGATAATTCACACAAAAACCGTCGCGATGATGTTGATGCCGATGCAATGAATTTGATAACATTGGAGACAGAAAGTCGAGATGTTAATATAAGCCTAGGGTATCGAGAGTAGCCTCATTCTGAGGTCATGAATCATGTGACCATGATCTAAAATGATTTTAACAAATCAAAATGGAATCTCAGACAAGTGAGAAGCAAACCAGATTCGAACACTTTAAAAAGACCTTCTATTGGTAAGCAAGTAGTGTTGGGCAAGTCGCTCAATTCTTTCATGAGCCGGGTATGTCTATAGTTAGTTGTGTATTAGGCGATGGGTTGAAGTGAAGATTATGTGAGTATCAGACCTTATTTTTGTGTTAATTCTTGCATGAGTGAGCGACAGTACATGAATGTACATGTAGGTAATTAGGAGCTACGGCCATCGGGCCAATCGCTGAACACCTCACTGCCTGTGCGAGTTGGAGGGTAATATCCCGGATGTAGTAAGGTGAAATAGGATACTGGTATAGCATTGCGTTGAATATTACTGCACTAGTAAATAGCGGCATGTGTGGCTGCTTGTACTAGTCCGGACTTTTGCTTGTTTTATAATGCTAGCCATGCTAGATACCATGCCGCTTTTCTCAATGAATACCCCACTCAGACACAGTATACTGACTTCCAAACGGCAATATTGAGGTAGCTGGTAAATCGGTCTCTTGGGCGCTCCAGAGTCAGTTCCAACATGATTGATATTTGGGTTTCTCTTGAACTTCGCATCATGTTTACAAGTGACGTGTCATATTAGTAAACTTTTGGCGTGACCTAGCTAACTAGGCCTCTGATCGCGAAACATTGATTGAAGCTCTGTTGTGAGTAACGTCTGTCTTTCCGGGAATAAAATGCCAAGCAACTGAAAAATGTAGGCGCCATCATCTAGATTTGAAGATTTGAAAATTAAAATCATCCCTCTTGTCGTAAAACTTGGTACAGAGACTGCCATCATTTTGTTTGAAATCACTCACATTTACCGCCCCCCCCCCCCCCCCCCCAATTGTTCACGGAAAATTTAGCAGAAGACATCTCATTTGTTGACTAAAAACATAGCAATATCAAAAAGGAAGATAAACAGCTTTCAGATAATCTTTCAGTTACTTTGAAATACTGTACACACAGTAAAGTAGTCAAAATGAAAAAAATTACATTAATTTAATTATTTTCTATTTATTACACGATCTACAGCAAAAGTATCGTGTTAGAGAACTTCTCTCTTGCCACTGACCTGTGAAGATTCGGGTAAAGAATTGGTCTTCAGCGACCATGCTTGTTGTAAGAGGCGGCTAACGGGATCGGGTGGTCAGGCTCACTGACTTGGTTAAAGCAAATTGTATATGTACGTCTTTGGTTAAAGGATGTCATCGTATCCCAATTGCGTGGATCGATGTTCATGATATCAAACAAAAAAACCAACCCAAAACCTTTCTTACCACAGACCAGTGATAAAGACAAACGGCGGGTCCCCCTGACCTCTCCCCGGGTCAGTCTGACCACGGAGAGTGGGCACGGCCCTGGAAACCTATGGCTGATGATTTCTTCACATCTAAGCCTTGAACATACAAAAGTAACATGTAGAACCATTCCAGGTAGACGCCAGCAGACCACTGCCCCCATACAGAAGGGCGGATGTTCACACAGTCAGGGGAACAACTCCGGGAGACTTACAAATCAGCCTCACCTCTCTGATACTTAAAATATCACAGACACAAACTCTTTACAATGACTTTACAGTAACTATTTTCAACAGTTAAAAAAGCAACAATTATTTGGGAAAATATTCCAATCAGAAGCGTCATCCAAACACTGTGTTGTGGACAACTGAGTGTCCGTTCATCATCAGCCGACAACGTTGATGCTGACATCAACTACATCATTGACAGCCGAAAGGAGTGAGTGAGTGAGTGAGTTGGGTTTAACGCCGCTTTTAACAGTTTTCCAGTTATATCGCGGCGTGTCAGCTTAATGTGGGAGGAAAGCCCGAAGTGATGCAGGTCTCGGACGTTTACCACTTCGGTGAAACCCACGAGTACGGGTATGGTGCTGACAAACCTAGAAACATAATCGGGGTGAACCGGAATTCGAACCCACAATCATAGGTTTCTGTCGTGCCCAAGGGACGCAACTCTGCATAGCGAATCGAGGCGCCTTAGACGACTGGGCCACCCGTGCCCCCGACAGCCGAAAGGAGAGGGGATAAGGCATATAGATAACATATATGAGTTCCCGGTAACCAGACCGACCAATCAGTGCATATGTAACCTGTACGTACCAGGGCCAACTTGTACAGAACAATCTTAGTTACGTTTGATCTTAGGCGGCTACAATCATCTTTCAATTGTAAGTTTCGATTGTAGCTTACAATGATCTTAGCCTGCAATAGCTTTGTGCAAGTGGATGGCGATTGTAGCCGAAGCCTAAGATCGCGATCTTAAGGATTTACAATATATTGTAACGCTAAGATCGCTTTGTGCAACTGGACCCTGGGGACACGGGTGTTCCAGTCATCTAAGGCGCCGCGATTCGCTGTGAAGAGTTGCGTCCCTTGGGTTCGCCTCGATTATGTTTCTAGTTTTGTCAACACCAATTCCCGTGCTTGTGCGTTTCACCGAAGTGGTAAACATCTGAGACCTGCATCAATTCGGGCTTTCCTCTCACGTTAAGCTGACACGCCGTGCTATAACTGGAATACACCAGTACGTATCACTTATGTAACAAGTATTCAAGACAATTAATATGAACACTTACTTGAATTTATATTTAACTTTTAATAATTTCAAGATTATGCGCAGATCCATGTCGAAATATTTTTACCTGCACACATTCTTTTGAATATTAGATCTACTCCTGATAAAATCCACACGAGAATGGGAATAAATATTTTTTGTAACAAAAATTATATGTAACTAAATGTGTATTTATTGCTTTGAAAAGAATGCTTGCCATACTGTCTTCACACGGAGACCAACGGGTTATGGCCCCTGTGTCACGTCAGTCGATGTATTACGGAACTATCCGAAGAGAGCCGAATAAGAATGCTCCAATGGTTTGTGCTCGACACTTTGTACTCCTTTATCTGCGTAGCACAAAATGAAGCACACCGTAAACCTGGGAGTAACTTCCGGGTCCTGAACGTTTGATGACAAACGTCTGTGTTCAGATATAAATATTAATCGCCTTCAAATATGTAGTTATCAATTTGATGATGTATACGTTGCAGCATAATATCAAGGAGGAGCTGGACTAACTTACACACGTCTGATTTAATCACCGATTTTATGGTAAGACACGTTTCTTCGACGGACACCGGCGATATTTCGAGGACCAGCACTCCTGAGACAGACTATGTTTGCTTTATTCGTCAAGAATGTTTTGTGATGCCTTTTGGCCGCGGTAGAAATAAAATCTTCCACATGTGGATTCTTGAGGAATTTTCTTTAAATAGTAAACATACATTATGATCATGTGCATAATTTATTGGTTTATGTAACTTTGGTGAGTGTTTTTTTCTTCCCGTGATGAACAGCGTTAAAAGCAAAACTTTTGGTAAGTGTTCCTTTTGTTCCCCTTTTGTTTTTGTTCATTATATTACCCATGCGCTCAACAAGTTTATAATGAAAAAAAAAAAGGTGTGGGGAACGAAAAGAATTCTTTCCAAACTACTATTTTCTGAACACGAGAAAGTAGGTGCTTGTTAGTGTATGTAAATTCTGGAAAATGTAAACAGTTGGCAGATTAGTTTGGTGACAATTTGCAACACCATAATCATGCTAAGTACAGCCTACTCATAACAGCGCAGCTTGCGTGTCGACATCTTTATGGTTAGTTTTCCTAGGTTAGGTTCAGATTACCCCCACACTCGATTATTAACCTTTTGAACCCAATTCCAATCTAGCAAGTCTTTCAGATCAATTGGGTTGGACACCTTTTTTTATAAAACCACACTAATACCCTTAAGACTGCCACCACAGTGTTAGAAATTGGCACAAGTTCTGTAGTCATTGCCAAACTGCCCAATAGTTAAGGTATTATATGGACTAGAAGTAATTTGCCCGTTTTAAGGGTTTTGCTATATGTTATCATTATAAGGGCAAGTGGACTAAAACTGTTAGTTTTTAAAGCTGCTCCATGGTCTAGTTGAAATAGCATCTGCCCCGAGAGTGGAAGGTCATCAGTTCAATTCCCGTCTGCATCATACGAAAGATGTTAAAAGAGGGTACTTGTTGTTGCCCTGCCTGGCACTCGGCCTTAACGGGGACAAAACAAGGAAGGTCCGCTCAGAGTCAGTATAGTGTGTCTGAGTAGGGTCTTCATGTTAAACTGCGGCGTGAGATCTCAGTTGGATAGCACTATAAAACCGACATAAGTCTGGACTAGTACAAGCAGCCACACACATCGCTATATAAGTGCAGTAATATAGCTGTATCCCATGTGCATGCATGCAGTTGTATATATGTGCTGTATATATGTGCAATAATCTTGAATGCAAAGTTAAACCCAATTTCATATCTCCTCATTATCTTTATGGCGAGGAAGAGTTGGTCACTCTTTGCTGATCCAACACCCATTTGCGAGTTACACAGATCTTTTAGGGTCAGCTATCTCACCTGTCTTAGCAAAGTAATCCAAATTTTATCAAATTTTGAGTTTCGTAGGAAAAAAGAGGCTGCCATGCACAACAAATGTAAACACTCAGGTACTGATCAGAAGGTAAATGAGCACTACACGCGGTAATTATTTGTGATAGCAAGTGTGGTCCCGTAATAAGGTGTTGACTAATTAAGTAATTAGTCTAGCCAAGCTTCAAGCAAGCAAAGTGAGTTCGATCCACTACCCATACAGTGATAAATTAAATAAGAAACAGCAGCCAGTCAAGTGCAGGACTCACGAATTATCAATAATATTCTAAATGGAATTGGAAAGTTGAGTTTTTTCCTTTCAAGCCATTATTTGTAAGGTTTGACTTTCACCATGTTTGTGTATTCATCAGTCATTATAACATTAATAACAGACAGATTTCAAACAGGCAGTTGGAAATTAATTTGTTTTGTCGAGTATGTTGTGCTAATGTTTATCATGATTTTTCAACACTCACTTGTCTGACGCTTTGTTCTCACTGATTGGAAAACATGGAAAAGCAGTCTAATATTTAAACAATCTCTGTTGATTTACTCACACTAAAGTGGCACCATGTTTATTTTATAATCAATGCAGTAAATATGTTAGTCATGGGATTTAGGTTACCTTTTTTCTGCTTTCAGAGAATTCTAAGTATGAAGAGTGTTAGTAGTTAACTATCTACATCTAATATTAATGGATAATGTTGTATGGACTGGTACTAGTATCTATGAAACATTATATTTGCAACTTTTGCAGGCTCTCTCATGAATCTCAGACAAGACATGTAAACTTCTCCGACCACACTGATACTACCTCAGCTGTCTACACGATGCGGTTCAACAGCAAGGAGCTGGCGTACGTGGCCACCCACTCCACCACCATCGACAAAGAAGGGGTGCTCCGTATGAAGGATAAACAAGATGGACTCTTCAAGAAGGGGGAAAGTAGGTGTTGAACCCGATGCAGCATGCACCCATTTACACCTGTGCAAATTACCCACCCATTTACACCTGTGCATATTTGCCACCCATTAAAACCTGTGCAAAATTTCAGTGTAAATATTCTACGAACATGCAGTGTTTGACATTAAGGGGTCCTATGCAGCTGTATTATTGAATCTAAGGACCACTAAATCTTTACGTTTTAATCAAGTTAACATCAGGCCTTTTTTTTATTTGTTGGTTTACAAAATGTTTTGTACTTTAAATGTGGTTAAAAACAAGATTTACCAGTATATTAATTTCCAACTTTCAGATAAGTGCTGCTCTTGGTGAATGAAAAGCAATCAAGTTTTAACTTGGCAAGATACCAAAAGATAATTGATTGAGTTGTTTGCTAGAATAAAGATTTTTTATGCACATTATTCACCATTTCTTGCAAAGAGCTGTGATAAAATCACATGTTTTCTTTCATTTCAACTTACAGTAAAAGATTCGAACAAAATAATGATTAATAAAGTCAAAAGTCATTTAATTTTATTTGAATTTCATGTTTTTTTTATCAGTCTTATAAACCAACTTAAAAAAATATAAGACCATTGGGTTATCACAAGGATTCTTTTACTTACATGATCACTGTTTGAACTGTGATATGTGTTCTTGTCATACAAATTCAAGTCACATTCACATCTGCACTACACTCATTCATGCTGTTTCATGCTAACATTACTGTCTATATTCAAATATACCTTCTGATTAGGTGTAATTTTATACATGTAGCACATGTTCCTATATCATGTATATGGTGGATGTGTTGTACACAGTATATCAACATATGTATGTTTCTTTAATGATGATTGTTAAAATACATTGTTTTCACTCTGAGCTTGGTGTCAGTGAATAAATATGACTTACTGCAGTATAGAATGAAATGAGATATATACTACTCAAAAGAATACCTGATTCTTTCATATGATTATAGTTATTCTGTCTTAATCATGTGTTCTTAACATCCTAGTTGTAGTGTATAACATGTATATACAGTTCATACACAAGGCCTGTATTGTTTGTTCAATATACCGTATTCGACGTAATAAGCGCCCCGCTCTAATAAGCGCCCACAGCGATATTTGCTAATATATTGGCTAGTGAACAATCCCAATTAGCACCCCTTCTGATTGATCAATGTACACAACACTTATTTATTCGCATATAATACGCACTCGTTTGTTATATGCACCCTTAATTATGGGCAATTTAATTCCGAAAAAATGTATCTCTCGTATATAATCATTTCAGGCTGTCAGTATAAACCACGAAATTTATCTTTCGACTGTTTTTTTCACCAAAATAGTATTCTAATAGGATCCCCCTATTTCTAATTTTGAGAGCGCCCTGGGCGCTTATTACGTCGAATACGGTACTTGAAATATATTTGATCAAAACACATATTGTGAATATGCTTGAAAATTGCATCGTTTGTTGATTTGGAATAAATATAAGTGTTAATGACACATGGATTTATGGAAATATTGACATCAGTGTGTGTTTTATGGCTAATGAGTTACTGAAATTGTTGATCATGCTGATGTCAATGTGTGTTTTATTTGACACAATGACCCTTTGAAATAATGGGTAGCTATCTGGAAAATAAATGTACTGAACCTGTATTAACTTGTTCACTGAGTGCTACATTTTCACACCTAACTGCGGAAAGTTGACCTGATTCCTCTGTTCTGTGTAATATATGCTTAATACATTGTTATAAGTTGGTGTGATTGTTGTTGAGAACATTCTGACATTTCCAATATAATGTTTAATATGTTACATCAACATATGCTAATGACAAAAAATAAGGGAACTGATGAAATGATAGTAAAGGTGTAATGACGATAAATGTCGGTTAAATTAGTTTTGGTTGTGTAGATCAATATCTAGTGTTCACCATGTTGGGCAATACATGCACGATACCATTCTGACATCTTCCTGAGGCAAGGGTGTTTACTGACTTTAAAAGTCCAGTTTCTAGCCTTGCTGAACTACTCATGAATTCTTGGGCTCGATCGTAGCGCCACCAGTGGTTATTACGAGTTATGTCCCTTCGAAGCCTCTCCTATGGACCAATCAGATTATCTAGTATCTAGTATCACTTGCATTTGTTTCAAACAAAATGGCGGCGCCCAGTCAAGACGATCTGATCGATAATCAAGATCTGTATTGTGATAAAACGGGACATACATCGCGAAGTGCATCAAATCATGTGAGCACCTTGATCAAAAACATGAAAAGACTTAGAAAATATCTGTTGACTAAGAGTTGGCAGTGCACATGCTTTGCAAATCATGCAACATGTGCAATCAACTGAAATCTGCACGACAGTTTACGAACTGGATTTCGGTTTCGTTGCACGATTTTGAATGGACTATGCATGAACTCGTTAGTCCAGCCAAAATGTAACTCCATAATACAGGCCTAGTTTGGCAAGGGTGGAGACTGGTAACTCTCTTGTCTCGGGGAGATGCCATACTGATAGCATACTGTAGAATAACTTGCTTATGGTTGTCCATTGGTTTTTCTCTGGTGTACACTCTCCGTACAACTTCCTACAGGTGCTCTATTGGGCATATATATGGGGGCTTAGATGGCCAGTCCAATGTCAGTATGCCTTGTCTTCAGAGACAATTGGCCATGACCTTGGCATGTTGTGGTCTGGCATTGTCGTCTTGCAGTTTCAAACTTTCTACGGATAATTCTAGTGACGTCCTACATTGCCCAACATGTTCTGTCGTCCGTTTTTTAGGCCTGTTTGATCATGTTGATGGTACTTGTCCCACAGAAATTACACTTTTTGATTTGCCAAACATTCGGGCAACATGGGATATTGACGCCTCAGCCCCCTCCACCTTCTATCATACCCACAATTCGCCATTTTGTCTGTTCATTCATATATTGTCTGGGAGGCATTTTGTAGAGTTTACTCAGCTCAATTGCATTAGTGACTGTTGTCAAGTTTGTCTGCTTACTGAGTTTTGTATTTATCATGACATGTTGTGAAAGTTTAATATGATGTTCTTTGTATTTCAGCATACCAAGAGAGATACTTTAGGCTTAAGGGGAACTTACTTTTCTACTTCAAAAATAAAGAAAATGTAAGTATGATTATAACTGAAGTGACCGTTTTGAATATTAAAACTATTTTCTGAGTTATCTTGTTTAACATGTTTACGTGCATATTTGATAATCATGACAAGTAATGTTGCCTCAAAAATGAAAATTTAGTACATATAAACAGAACATGGAACTTGTGCTCCAATTCCAAAATATTAAAATGTAGTGTTGTACACTTGGTAAAAGCTTTGGCTTTATATGATCAACATGTATTAAACTTGAAATAAGTTCACGTGTATGTACTTCTCTTCGACAAATCCATTTCTTGTGTTCCCTGCCTGATATTGCTGGAACATCGCTATTTATAAGCGGCCTAAAACCATAATCACTCTCTCTCTTCGACAAAAAATATATTAAGTGCAAATGTTTATATGGCCAATATTTAGGCCACAAAGCCTGTACTACTGAAATAATGAATCTAAACCAGTTTATTTATTTGTTATGTAAAGAGACATGAAACAGCCCATTCAGTTTAATCTTTGGAGAAGAAAGAAAGAGGGATTTAATTGTTCTAAAAGAAACAGTTATCTGCTTCATTTGTGTGTTGTTGAATTGTCTCACAAATTTTAAGGATGATGCCATTAATAGATATTGATTTGAACCTTGACATCAGTACATTATGGTAAAAGTGACAATAAAACGACCCCAACAATTGGTTTTCAGACATTTGACAAATGTAGAATGGTTTGGCTGGTTTCTGTATTCAGTTGTAGAGATGTGCTTCCTGTGTTCAGGATCAGATGTTCAAACCTTTGTGTCATTGATCTGCCAGAGCTAACAACCAGTGATATTGTTGTTGTTGCAGCACTTGCTTGTCAGTGTTACCATGATTACAATGTCCTGTTTCCTGTTGTTTTGCAGAGAAGTGAGCCGCTTGGTGTCGTCATCCTGGAGAGATGTACTGTGGAGCTTGATCTCAAGGATGATGTCAGCAACTCCTTCCTTCTAGGTGAAACAGAGACTATATTCCGACACTGACCCTCCCCACAGCTATAAACAGAGACTACATTCCTACACTGACCCTCCCCACAGCTGGAAACAGAGACTTCATTCCTACACTGACCCTCCCCACAGCTGGAAACAGAGACTACATTCCTACACTGACCCTCCCCACAGCTAGAAACAGAGACTACATTCCTACACTGACCCTCCCCACAGCTGGAAACAAAGACTTCATTCCTACACTGACCCTCCCCACAGCTAGAAACAGAGTCTTCATTCCTACACTGACCCTCCCCACAGCTAGAAACAGAGACTACATTCCTACACTGACCCTCCCCACAGCTGGAAACAAAGACTTCATTCCTACACTGACCCTCCCCACAGCTGGAAACAGAGACTACATTCATACACTGACCCTCCCCACAGCTGGAAACAGAGACTACATTCCTACACTGACCCTCCCCACAGCTGGAAACAGAGACTTCATTCCTACACTGACCCTCCCCACAGCTGGAAACAGAGACTACATTCCTACACTGACCCTCCCCACAGCTGGAAACAAAGACTTCATTCCTACACTGACCCTCCCCACAGCTGGAAACAGAGACTACATTCCTACACTGACCCTCCCCACAGCTGGAAACAGAGACTTCATTCCTACACTGGCCCTCCCCACAGCTGGAAACAGACTTCATTCCTACACTGGCCCTCCCCACAGCTAGAAACAAAGGCTGCGTTCCTACACTGACACTCCCTACAGCTAGAAACAAAGACTGCATTCCTACACTGACCCTCCCCACAGCTGGAAACAAAGACTGACCTCCTACACAGACCCTCCCCACAGCTGGAAACAGACTTCATTCCTACACTGACCCTCCCCACAGCTGGAAACAGACTTCATTCCTACACTGACCCTCCCCACAGCTAGAAACATTCTCTGCATTCCTACACAGAAGCTCCCCACAGCTGGAAACAGAGACTTCATTCCTACACTGACCCTCCCCACAGCTAGAAACAAAGGCTGCGTTCCTACACTGACCCTCCCCACAGCTGGAAACAGAGACTTCATTCCTACACTGGCCCTCCCCACAGCTGGAAACAGAGACTTCATTCCTACACTGACCCTCCCCACAGCTAGAAACAAAGGCTGCGTTCCTACACTGACACTCCCCACAGCTGGAAACAAAGACTGCATTCCTACACAGACCCTCCCCACAGCTAGAAACAAAGACTGCATTCCTACACTGACCTTCCCCACAGCTAGAAACAAAGACTGCATTCCTACACAGACCCTCCCCACAGCTAGAAACAAAGGCTGCATTCCTACACAGACCCTCCCCCACACCTAGAAACATAATCACTGCATTCCTACACGGACCCTTCCCACAGCGAGAAACAAAGGCTGCATTCCTACACAGACCCTCCCCCACAGCTAGAAACAACAATCCCCCGCAATCCTACACTGACCCCCCACAGCTAGAAACATTCACAGCATTCCCCTCCCCGCAGATAGAAACATTCACTGCATTCCTATACTGACCCTCCCCACAGCTGGAAACAACCACGGCATTCCTACACTGACCCTCACCACAGCTAGAAACAAAGACTGCATTCCTACACTGACCCTCCCGGCAGCTAGAAAGATTCACTGCATTCCTACACTGACCCTCCCCACAGTTAGAAACAACCACGGCATTCCCCTCCCCACAGCTAGAAGCAATCACTGCATTCCTACACTGACCCTTCCCACAGCTAGAAATGAGAGTAGGGACTGCCCATATTACTTTGTACTTCTACAACTGTTGCAGTGTACGAGGGGGAGGACCACCCATATTACTTTGCATGTTCCTCAGAGGAGGAGCGAGACAGCTGGATCCAGGCTCTGCACATCGCAAGCTACGAGTGTCTCAACATGCAGCTGCAAAGTCTCCGCGAACAGCTGCAGGCTAAGACTGGCAGAGACCCCATTCAGCTGCCTTCTCACCAACATGCAACACTGGACTATGAGTCTCAAGGAGGTAGGTACCAGATACAGCTGCCTTCTCACCAACATGCAACTCTGGACTATGAGTCTCAGGGAGGTAGGTGTGACCTTGATATGGCTGCCTTCTCACCAACATGCAACACTGGACTATGAGGCTCAGGGAGGTAGGTACCAGATACAGCTGCCTTTTTACCAACATGCAACACTGGACTATGCGTCTCAGGGAGGTAGGTACCAGATACAGCTGCCTTCTCACCAACATCCAACACTGGACTATGAGGCTCAGGGAGGTAGGTACCAGATACAGCTGCCTTCTCACCAACATCCAACACTGGACTATGAGGCTCAGGGAAGTAGGTACCAGATACAGCTGCCTTCTCACCAACATCCAACGCTGGACTATGCACCCCAGGGAGGTAGGTACCAGATACAGCTGCCTTTTTACCAACATGCAACACTTGACTATGCATCACAGGGAGGTAGGTACCAGATACAGCTGCCTTTTTACCAACATGCAACACTGGACTATGCATCTCAGGGAGGTAGGTACCAGATACAGCTGCCTTCTCACCAACATGCAACACTGGACTATGAGTTCCAGGAGGTAGGTACCAGATACAGCTGCCTTCTTACCAACATGCAAATTTGAACCATGAGTCTCAGGGAGGTAGGTGTGACCTTGATACAGCTTCCTTTTCACCAGCTAGCAACTCAGGATTAAGAATTGCTGGGAGACAGGCACCAGATTCAGCTTCCTTCTCACCAATAAACTCTGGACTATGAAGCACAGGGCCAATATTTTGTTGCAACAATAGTCAGTTTCCGTTTAACGACAGTCTACATAGTGTTTAGGATGAATGTGAATGTGAGTATTGCAGAAAACCTGTAACTATGATGTGAATGCAACCTAATGAGATGTCATAGCACCTTATGATATCATCAATGAAATGTTGCTGCACATTAAATATTGGAGGAAATATGAATTTTATATTTTGCTCTTATAGGGAGCACAGTTAGTTTAATGTTCTGTTACAAATGAATATTTTATCTTACTTAATGGCTATTGGCGATTTAATCTGTGGATTATATATTATATCTGTGGATTATATTGATATATGTTAAGATCGTGGAATTTATGAAGAACGATAAACCTTGAACATTAAATTGAAAATTTATGATCAGAAATAGTAACATGCATAATTTTTTTAATAATGACAACATTGGTGTATAATAATAACTTTATTGATCATTTATAACAATAATGGCTGTAGTCGTGGCAACTTCCAAACTTTGGTGAATTTGTAATTTATCGACCGTCATCATTCAGGCGATATTTCTATCATGAAAGTGTACCCCTGTGGATAAGCTGACCCCTTTCTACAGAATCTTTTTTCTGGTCCTAAAAAATTCGGCTAATTGGGTACCGAACAAATTGGGTAAATGTTCATACCATAATTCATACAACGAAATAGAATGCACACTGACCCCTATATTTTTTCACCCGAATAGTTCAGATTAATCATTTCAATTTTTAAATAACAAACTTGGAAAAGTAAAAATCTCTTTCTTAAATACCCACCAACTGACATCTATTTATCAATGTCACTGTTACCAAGGTTATAGAGTGCCAGAAAAATACATTTCAATTGTTCTATCGTCTTATAAAAATGTGTCGTAAATATTGATTTTCATTCCTCTTTCTGTTGCAGACCCCAATGAAGAAGCCGTGCTGGAAATATCGCTTTGTAAGTCCTAATGTTGTCTATGTGTTGTATTGTGAGGAGCCATGGCTTCATGGAGCTTGTAACAATCGATGCCCATAGATCATCATGTGTTGTGTTATGATCTACACTGTATAACATGAGACTGGCCTCCGCTGTGGATCTGTCTCGTTAGTATGTGAAATGCTGCAACTAGGGTACCATTGGTGTTCACGAAATGCAATCTATGTCAAACTGTAATGTGAACAAAACTGAAATAGCTTTCTTTACACTGTCAACTAAAATGTGAGCCAGAATGAGACAATAATTAGAACCCATGGTTATCAAGAGGAGTGATGATGCTCTTGTTATTGTTTATTTAAAGTGTGAAAGGGGAGATAATCCATATTCCATGAGGGTTTTTCCCCCGAGAGTATATAAATATAGGTTAAGGTGGTATTGTTTTCTTTGTCTGGTTCTTTTTTTGACCACATGGTCAGTGGTGATGTTGTTGAACTGTAGAATGAAAATGGCTCCCTTATGAAACAAGAGGATGGTAATACTGTTAATGATGCTGCAGAACATTCCCTGTTGTGATTCCATGGTAACATTAGTTGCCAGTGTCCCATTGCTCATGCCAGGAACTGGTGGTTTGCCTGCACAGACTTCATTATTGACAGTCATGATGTAACTGGGATGTTTCTAACTTTGGCATAAAACAACATTCACTCCCTCCCTATTTAACACAATGTTTGGCTGTGATCATTATGATGTGTTTAAGACACTGACAGCAGTATCACGTACACCATGTACAACTCTCTATAGATTTAGTCTTGAAACCTCTTACAAATATATTAATTCAATTAAATAAGAACTCAAATGGGTATTTGAAAAGATGCTTTAAGTTACAATTAGTAAAGATAGAGGCAAAGCAGTTTGAGTATCTATGTGTTCCTGGAGACTGTGATTTAGAGAGTTTTGAGAGTTTTGTCTTGTCTGGAAGCTAGGAGATCTAATGTGTCGTACCTCGCTTTGCGGAGTTGCACCCCTTTGCTGCAGCAGGATCAGCTGGTAATGTGTTTGACTCCCAGTGTTGATCCTTTGTCACTTTTCTCCACAAACGCCATAAAATCCAACTCACTGATTTCTCCCTGTTCTGGTATTAGTGTTGAGTATTGCGGCTCCTATCTCTTTCATTGTACTTTAAAAAAAATTGGTTTACGGATCTGCAAATGTTTACAAAAAAGTTGAAATCAATCAATCTGGAAAGAAATACTTTTTTTATGGAAACTGCTGACAATTTAAGTAAACACTCTATACTTTGCAGCAAAACCTAAAAGACTGACTTGACAAACATGGCGATATGTTCTTGAAGTGTCTTGTTATATTTTTCAGCCCCATATATGAACCAGAAATGTTTTCACAAATACCTGTAACCAAGAATTTACTTAATGACTCTTTTATTTTATGGTTTACAGATTCTTTGCTAACCAATATGCAAGGGTAGGTCGAAATAACAAATAGAAATGAGTAAGTGTAGCTCAATAACTTAATTTGGGGGCCTACATTTTTGGGGTCAGTTGATTTGGAGTTAAAACTAAATGCTGATTCTGTTTAAAGTGCAATATGTAAAATATTTTACACTACATGGATTTTCTGCAGTCAGAAAAGGCTTGCTCTCAGTTTTAGGTGGCCAGAGAATATATACATATATACAATATATTTGATCAATTACTATGAGATCAGATGAACTTATGAAGATATGTTTTTATCGTTTTCAAATCCATCAATGATAGCACTGTCAGCTTTTCTGATTGTGTATTTTTACTTGGTCGGTTAAATCTGTAATTAAAATAAATAGAAAATAGTGTTGCCTCATGCTAAGACTAGAACATAGAGAAACTTTACTGAATTTCACATTGATTAATTTTGAAATATGCTTGCAAATGCTACAGTGCATTTTATTCTTAGTCAAGATCAATATTGAGAAAGTCAGCAATTTAATGACCAACTGTAGTGTGAATTAGGGTTATGATAAAAGCAGTTGCTTTGTGTAACACACTATGTATGTACACTTCTCTGGAGACATCCATTATTTTTTCACGTAATAATTACTACGACTACCAAGATGTGTTATTATTTATGTATTTAGAATGCATGTTGATAACTGTAGACCTAAATGATATGTGATAATGTTATTAGTGCATACGTAAAAATATTATTCATGTTATATCACAGTGGCAGTTTTCTCACTGTTGATTGATGGCAGTTGGAATACATGAAGTTCAGTACAGTTTTATTGATATTTGTGTTTGTATTGTGTTGGTGATGAGTAAATGTGCCTAGATTCTATTCCTCATGACACTGATAAAAATGAGGAGTTTATCTCCTGCTTATGTGATGATTTTGGAGAAGCTGTCCGTGGTTACTATGGTAACACAATAGATATTCAGTTACAAGAAGTGGTGTGCACCAATTTATAATATATAAATACAATATATAATATATATCATTGCAGTGAACATAACACTTTGAAGGAACTATTGTTGTACGAGAGTTGCCTCCCCTCAAATTGTCTCCCTTTATTGTAAGTGTCTTGCCCATACACAAACTAGTGATGCTCTTTTTACATTAGTTCCTCTTTGACAAGGCAAAATAATGACAGATGGTCATTTATGGAGTTCATATCGCTTCTTACAATTTGTTTTTCTTGCAAAAATGTTTTGCTAGTTGAGATGGACACCCTATCATGTAGGATCCAAAACACCAGTATGTTCTCCAGTTGAAATGGACACCCTATCATGTAGGATCCAAAACACCAGTATGTTCTCCAGTTGAGATGGACTCCCTATCATGTAGGATCTTAAACACAAATATGTTCTCCAGTTGAGATGGACACCCTATCATATAGGATCCTAAACCCCAATATGTTCTCCAGTTGAGATGGACACCCTTTCATGTAGGATCCTAAACCCCAATATGTTATCCAGTTGAGATGGACACCCTATCATGTAGGATCCTAAACACCAATATGTTCTCCAGTTGAGATGGACACCCTATCATGTAGGATCCTAAAAACCAATATGTTCTCCAGTTGAGATGGACACCCTTTCATGTAGGATCCTAAACACCAATATGTTCTCCAGTTGAGATGGACACCCTATCATGTAGGATCCTAAACACCAATATGTTCTCCAGTTGAGATGGACACCCTTTCATGTAGGATCCTAAACCCCAATATGTTCTCCAGTTGAGATGGACACCCTATCATGTAGGATCCTAAACACCAATATGTTCTCCAGTTGAGATGGACACCCTATCATGAAGGATCCTAAACACCAATATGTTCTCCAGTTGAGATGGACACCCTATCATGTAGGATCCTAAACACCAATATGTTCTCCAGTTGAGATGGACGTCCTATCATGTAGGATCCTAAACACCAATATGTTCTCCAGTTGAGATGGACACCCTATCATGTAGGATCCTAAACACCAATATGTTCTCCATTTGAGATGGACACCCTTTCATGTAGGATCCTAAACCCCAATATGTTCTCCAGTTGAGATGGACACCCTATCATGTAGGATCCTAAACACCAATATGTTCTCCAGTTGAGATGGACACCCTATCATGAAGGATCCTAAACACCAATATGTTCTCCAGTTGAGATGGACACCCTATCATGTAGGATCCTAAACACCAATATGTTCTCCAGTTGAGATGGACGTCCTATCATGTAGGATCCTAAACACCAATATGTTCTCCAGTTGAGATGGACACCCTATCATGTAGGATCCTAAATACCAATATGTTCTCCATTTGAGATGGACACCCTATCATGTAGGATCCTAAACACCAATATGTTCTCCAGTTGAGATGGACACCCTTTCATGTAGGATCCTAAACCCCAATATGTTCTCCAGTTGAGATGGACACCCTATCATGTAGGATCCTAAACACCAATATGTTCTCCAGTTGAGATGGACACCCTATCATTTAGGATCCTAAACCCCAATATGTTCTCCAGTTGAGATGGACACCCTATCATGTAGGATCCTAAATGCCAGTATGTTCTCCAGTTGAGATGGACACCCTTTCATGTAGGAACCTAAACCCCAATATGTTCTCCAGTTGAGATGGACACCCTATCATGTAGAATCCTAAACACCAATATGTTCTCCAGTTGAGATGGACACCCTATCATGTAGGATCCTAAACGCCAATATGTTCTCCAGTTGAGATGGACGTCCTATTATGTAGGATCCTAAACACCAATATGTTCTCCAGTTGAGATGGACACCCTATCATGTAGGATCCTAAACACCAAAATGTTCTCCAGTTGAGATGGACACCCTTTCATGTAGGATCCTAAACACCAATATGTTCTCCAGTTGAGATGGACACCCTATCATGTAGGATCCTAAACACCAATATGTTCTCCAGTTGAGATGGACACCCTATCATGTAGGATCCTAAACGCCAATATGTTCTCCAGTTGAGATGGACGTCTTATCATGTAGGATCCTAAACCCCAATATGTTCTCCAGTTGAGATGGACACCCTATCATGTAGGATCCTAAACACCGATATGTTCTCCAGTTGAGATGGACACCCTATCATGTAGGATCCTAAACACCGATATGTTCTCCAGTTGAGATGGACACCCTATCATGAAGGATCCTAAACACCAATATGTTCTCCAGTTGAGATGGACGCCCTATCGTGTAGGATCCTAAACACCAATATATTCTCCAGTTGAGATGGACACCCTATCATGTAGGATCCTAAACACCAATATGTTCTCCAGTTGAGATGGACACCCTATCATGTAGGATCCTAAACACCAATATGTTCTCCAGTTGAGATGGACACCCTATCATGTAGGATCCTAAATACCAATATGTTTTCCAGTTGAGATGGACACCCTATCATGAAGGATCCTAAACACCAATATGTTCTCCAGTTGAGATGGACACCCTATCATGTAGGATCCTAAATACCAATATGTTCTCCAGTTGAGATGGAAGCCCTGTCATGTAGGATCCAAAACACAAGTATGTTCTTTCTTATTGACATTTCCTGCACACTTATGAACAGGAATCTTAACATAGAATTTTGCAACACAGCAGTTTTCAGGGTGTGACAAAGTCGACATTTTGACATCTTTTCCAGTAACACTTCCAGACAGGTAGCTTCTGCCTTGTACACAGGTACAAAACAAATCCATCCATGAAAAAAACAAAAATCACTTAAACAAAAACAAACATTTGTTATAGTAGAAGCTATTCATAATTTATTTTTATGTAGTTTTTTTTGTGTGCAGGATATTAGTTTTAATATCATAAGCAAGCAATGTGTCTGACTAAATTCAACTGAGATTTTATGTCAGCTTGTACTGGAAAGGGAGATAACTGTTACTGAGCTACAAGAGTAATTTTCTATTGTTCTGACATGTGGTTGTTCTTATAAAAATTCATGGCACAGAGAAGCATTGCTGATTTTATGAGCTGTCATTTCCCACAGTATAAGATCTAGAATGAAGGAAAAGGCATATCAGTGCATTAGGGCTGAGACGAGTCCAAATTTACTACCCGGGTACCCACCACCCTATTACCCGACCCTACCCGGCCATGAAGAGCTTCTCAGAGTTGGGGTCTAAACATACAAAACAATCATCTTATTAAATCTGACCATATGTATATAAAAATATATTGATTCTTAATTCAATTTCACAGAAAATATTCTATGTGTATGAAGATGTTGGCCAATGGGTGGAGGGGTTGAGCAGAATTCTTCTTGTGAAATTTTTTGATTACAACAATTTGATGTGAAAAAGAAGGGTCATAATTCAATATTTTTTCTCCTAATTTTCAAACAAATTTTGTACTCTTGCTTTTCAATTTTACTTATTTTGTTGTAATTTTCACATACAGGTTAAACATTGGTTTTACTTTGGGTTGAGGGTTCAGAGAATCTTTTGTGTGTAGAATCTGAAATCGTTCCTCCTTTTTGAGTGTGGTTCTTGGTTTGGCAGCACGATACCTGTGCTCCTGGATTTCTATAATATTGTTTATGGCTGGGATATTCATCACTATGGAGCTCCTCCCACGTGGTTCTGACATGTCCTGATACAGGTGAAGTACTGTTCACAGCAGCATTTCCCCCTATTCATTCACACGCACAAAATCATCTTGGGACTGACCATTTGATACTCTGGTGGAGAACCTGGGATTATATGTTGAGATTCGATATTTTTTCAGCTACGTATCAATTTTTTAAAAGAAAAACATTTTGCAATAATGTAATTTTTGTGTTTACCAGTAATATTCTTCTGCATGTCTTAGAGAACTCTGTGTAGACGATACTGTATTTAGACTGTTTTATTTTTTCAACCTGTTGTTTTTTATGCTGAAGTATGTTGTGTGACAGAGGGTCAGTTTTTGTATGTACATACGCTGTAGTTCAGCATTTTTATCATATATATATCATGACACATTTATTTTTTCTATTTGTTATCTTTTGGGTATTTCCCCATTCTTTATTTACACTTCCACCGTTTTCCGTTTTGTTAAACTTTAGCATGTTCCAGTAAATGCATGTTTTTGAAAAATAAACATTATTTAAATGTTTCTGGTGTCTTGCTAGTTTTTGTCTAGTACCATTGTGGTGTTGAAGGGATGCCACATCTATATTATATCAGAATTGTAGAAAGGAACAAACTATTTTAGCCTTGTTTTCAAATAAACTTGCGCAAACTTTTCCAAAAGTATAACATTTTAAAATATGTTGTTTTCTTATTTCAAGATTTTTTTCCAATTAAAACCAAAAACATTTGAACCAACCTTAACATATTTTCGTTTGACCACCTGCATCTCCACCAGGACATTCCACTAATTTTTCGTTTTGATATCTTGACATACCTCATTCAGAGCATTAACTTACAAGAGCAGATATTGAAGCAAGTTTTCGTTGAAACCTTCTCGAAGAGCAAAGACCATTTTTGCCTAGTTTAATGGATCAGAATGCACACATTTTCTTTCTCAGCTCCCTGTGGAGCATACAAGAATAGTTTATCGTTGGATGATGAATACAGTAAAACAAACATGTCAGTGCTGATTCATCCTTCTCCATCTCATCTTCCCGATTTAAGGGCGTTAACTGACTATAAAAAACCTGTTCCCACCCTTGCCGAACTAGGCTGGAATCAGGAGTTACATTTTGGCTGGACTAACAAGTCTATGCATAGTTCAATAAAAATCGAGTAACGAACTAGACATTCGATTCTTATACAACATGGATTTCAACATGCAGATTTCGGTTGACTGTAGGATTTGCAAAGCATGTGTACCTCCAAATCTTATCATGTTCTTAATCAAGTTGCTCAAGTGATTTGGGGGCACGGGTGGCCCAGTCGTCTAAGGCGCCTTGATTCGCTGTGCAGAGTTGAGTCCCCTGGACACGCCAGAAACCTATGATTGTGGGTTCGAATCCTGGTTCACCCCGATTATGTTTCTTGGTTTGTCAGCACCATACCCGTGCTCGTGGGTTTCCCCGAAGTGGTAAACGTCTGAGACCTGCATCACTTCGGGCTTTCCCACCACATTAAGCTGACACACCGTGATATAACTGGCATAATGTTAAAAGCGGCATTAAACCCAACTCACTCACTCACTCAAGTGATTTGATAAGACCCGTTTTATTGCAATATAGATCCTAATTATCGATCAGATCGTCTTGTCTGGACCACACTACACACAGTATTCAGAGCCAAACAGTCATTTTTGGCTACCGGTATGTGGTAAGGACTGGGATTCATCTCCTTGCAAGACATGATAATACTTCTGAGTTGAAATTTTCATATACTTCAATATTAGATGAGTCTTGCTGCAGGTAATGGAAAGGGGCGAGTGATTATAAGTAGGGATAGGACGGGTAGCTAGGGTGCACGGGTCGAGTGGGTACTGAGGAGGACTATTGTAAGCTTATGTTAAAGTATGAGAGTTATGATCATCTTAGGGCTAAGATTGCTTTCTGCAAGTGGGCCCTGAAATGTAACTCGAGCATTGCCAACATTCTTATCCAGATTGTCATCATTTACATCATAGTTCTCATACTTCCTGTCTGTGCTGCCACCAAAAAGATAGGGGTGGGGAAGTCATCACAAAGCTTTTGCTCACTGTACCAAAGACATGAAGCCTGATCTTGGTGTTCTCAGCCGTGAAAATGCTGCAGTTCATGCAAACCACTCACTTACTCAAAACACTGAAAGCTAAAGAGATCATAGGTCACCAAAGAGGACGACGATGTTGATGATGATGATGATGATATTGATGATGATGATGATGAAGATGACGACAATGATGATGATGATGATGATGATGATGATAATGATGATGATGAAGACGAAGATGACGACGATGATGTTGATGGTGATGATGAAGATGAAGACCTCCACAGAGTTGATGCATGTAGTTGACGTGTACTGTCTTTGTTGCAGCCTGCAGTGACCTGCCCACAGACAGCAGTGGACAACCGCCCAACCCCCTGGTAGTTGTGCACACCATGACTCCCCCACTCCAGCAGCTGTGGGTCAAACACAACCACACAGAGGTGGTAGAGGTGAGCTCCACCCTACATGTCACATGGTTCATGTATGAGTCTAGGCAACATGAACAGGATATCAGAACAACTTGAGTTTTCAGTACCACATGTTTGTCACAATAGTCAACCATAATCAGGATTAATTGATCATCTATTGTAAATGTGTCATCAACTCACTGGAACATTGCTCTTTCTATCAACCACTGGTTTGGTCAGTCCAGAACTGATTATTTAGAAACAATCGTGATGCCGCTTGAAAATTGCTGAATCAGCACAAAACAATATTCAGTCACGTTACACTAAACTATTCTCTGCTAATGGACAGCTAGGTTACTCAGACGCCGTCTGTACACTTAAACTGTAAAATCTGTAAAAAAAGAATAACATCTTTTTCATTTCCATATTATAATATTTTCAGAAATGCTACAACCCCCAGTTTCTGAGGACCATTGGTTTTGGTGGGAGTGAAGGTGTGGAGACCGGTACCCGAGTCCGGCTGACCGTCTATCATGTTGTGGAGAGGATGACAGGAACTGTAAGTGTTGATGACCATTGTCACATCCTCCATTAGCTGGAGGTCACAAGCACACGAGTGAGTGAGTGAGTGTGGATATCAGTGTCGTCTGGGTCACGTGGAGACACACATTTGGTGAGGAGATCAGTGTCGTCTGGGTCACATGGAGACACACATTTGGTGAGGAGATCTGTGTCGTCTAGGTCACGTGGAGACACACATTTGGTGAGGAGATCTGTGTCGTCTAGGTCACGTGGAGACACACATTTGGTGAGGAGATCAGTGTCGTCTGGGTCACGTGGAGACACACATTTGGTGAGGAGATCAGTGTCGTCTAGGTCACGTGGAGACACACATTTGGTGAGGAGATCAGTGTTGTCTGGGTGACGTGGAGACACACATTTGGTGAGGAGATCAGTGACGTCTGGGTCACGTGGAGACACACATTTGATGAGGAGATCAGTGTCGTCTGGGTCACATGAGACACACATTGGGTGACAAGATCAGTTTGGTTCATAATCATGGCGACATCTGCACAATCCCCAAGCTGTGCACCCGCTCACCACCCAGTCACTGGCGGAAGGCAGAAAGAACCAAGGGATAATCATCCCAAGCCACACTCACACACTTGTATCCTTCTGTTGTAATTCATGGATGAACAATCACTACACCATTTGTAGTCCCAGCCTCCCCAACCTGCCTCCATTTATATCTGACCGGTCCCTAAGTCAGTCCAGAAATCATTTCACTAAATATTATTCTTGCATATCTAAATGGTAATTTAAGAAAAAAGAATGGTGTGAAGAACACAAACACAAACACATGTCAATAACGATTGTGGTGTGGATAGTGTTCTTGTTAACAGTTTGTTTGTTGCAGATGTCACAGCTGGGTCAGACAGTGTTCTCCCTGCAGGATGTGCTGATGGCAACCAAAATGAGCCTCACACAAAATCTACAGTAAGTCAGGACACACACATCTCACAGAGTCTCCAGTCAGCCAGGACACACACATCTCAGACAGTCTACAGTACGTCAGGACACACACATCTCACACAGTCTCCAGTAAGTCAGGACACACACATCTCACACAGTCTACAGTAAGTCAGGACACACATCTCACACAGTCTACAGTTAGTCAGGACACACACATCTCACACAGTCTACAGTAAGTCAGGACACACATCTCACACAGTCTCCAGTAAGTCAGGACACACACATCTCACACAGTCTACAGTAAGTCAGGACACACATCTCACACAGTCTCCAGTAAGTCAGGACACACACATCTCACACAGTCTACAGTAAGTCAGGACACACACATCTCACACAGTCTACAGTAAGTCAGGACACACACATCTCACACAGTGTCTACAGTAAGTCAGGACACACACATCTCACACAGTCTCCAGTAAGTCAGGACACACACATCTCACACAGTCTACAGTAAGTCAGGACACACACATCTCACACAGTGTCTACAGTAAGTCAGGACACACACATCTCACACAGTCTCCAGTAAGTCAGGACACACATCTCACACAGTCTCCAGTAAGTCAGGACACACACATCTCACACAGTCTACAGTAAGTCAGGACACACACATCTCACACAGTCTCCAGTAAGTCAGGACACACATCTCACACAGTCTACAGTAAGTCAGGACACACATGCCACACACAGAGTCTACAGTTAGTCAGGACACACACATTCTCACACAGTCTACAGTAAGTCAGGACACACACATCTCACACAGTCTCCAGTAATTCAGGACACACATCTCACACAATCCACAGTAAGTCAGGACACACACATCTCACACAGTATCCAGTATGTCAGGACACACACATCTCACACAGTCTCCAGTAAGTCAGGACACACACATCTCACACAGTCTACAGTAAGTCAGGACACACACATCTCACACAGTCTCCAGTAATTCAGGACACACATCTCACACAATCCACAGTAAGTCAGGACACACACATCTCACACGGTCTCTAGTAAGTCAGGACACACACATCTCACACAGTATCCAGTATCTCAGGACACACACATCTCACACAGTATCCAGTATGTCAGGACACACACATCTCACACAGTCTCCAGTAAGTCAGGACACACACATCTCACACAGTATCCAGTATGTCAGGACACACACATCTCACACAGTCTCCAGTAAGTCAGGACACACACATTTCACAAAGAGTTTACACAGAGTGTTTGGTACTGAGGTGGGGAGGACGATGCATGATTGGGTGTTTGGTACTGAAGTTGAGAGGACAATGTGTGATGGGGTGTTTGGTACTGAGGTGGGGAGGATGATGTGTGATGGGGTGTTTGGTACTGAGGTTAGGGAGGACGATGTGTGATGGGGTGTTTGGTACGGAAGTTGAGAGGACGATGTGTGATGGGCTGTTTGATACTGAGGTGGGGAGGACGATGTGTGATGGGATGTTTGGTACTGATGTTGAGAGGACAATGTGTGATGGGGTGTTTGGTACTAAGGTGGGGAGGATGATGTGTGATGAGGTGTTTGGTACTGAGGTGGGGAGGACGATGTGTGATGGGGTGTTTGGTACTGAAGTTGAGAGGATGATGTGTGATGTGCTGTTTGATACTGAGGTGGGGAGGACGATGGGTGATTGGCTGTTTGGTACTAAGGTGGGGAGGACGATGTGTGATGGGGTGTTTGGTACTAATTGATTTAGTATGTACCTAGCATTAATATGTATTGTATATGACTATAGGTATACAGCACTGGTTCAGGGCTATTATTTCTCAACTCACACATCCATGTGACCCGTGAAAATCTGGGGTAGAATAGGTCTTCAGCAACCCATGCTTGTCATAAGAGGCGACTTACAGGAGCAAGTGGTCAGGCTCGCTGACTCACTGATAATCCATGTCATCGTATCCCAATTGTGATCGATGCTCATGATATCAGTCACTAGATTTTCTGGTCCAGACTCAATTATTTACAGACCGCCATAATAAAGGCGGAGTAACATTGAGTATGGCATTAAACAACAAACAAACAAACAAACAAACAAACACACACATTCGCATGTGATTCAACTGTGGCACTGATTGTTATATTACTGTTGTTTCTGCCTTTAGTTTGCTCCAAGATTTCCCTAATACTTGGATGTAACTTGCAAATCAATCAGTCATTGTTTTACTATGAACAAATAAATATCTCTTTGACAAAAAATTGTTTGCCGCTTTGTACAACACTATACATTCATGTCAGTGTACCTGATTTGTCTCACTGTTAGTGGGGGGCACGGGTGGCCCAGTTGTCTAAGGCGCCGTGATTTGCTGTGCAGAGTTGCATCCCTTGGGCACGCCAGAAACCTATGATTGTGGGTTCGAATCCCGGTTCTCCCCAATTATGTTTCTAGGTTTGTCAGCACCATACCCGTGCTCGTGGGTTTCACCGAAGTGGTAAACGTCTGAGACCTGCATCACACGGCTTTCCTCCCACATTAAGCTGACATGCTGTGATATAACTTGAATACTGTTAAAAGCGGCGTTAAACCCAACTCACTCACTCACTCACTGTTAGTGTGGTAACCACACATAAGTTTTATAACATTTGCATTTTCAAAGACATTTCTACAGCCGTCTGACCATTGATCATGAGATAACACAGATTGTGATGCTTTTCACAAGGAACCGAGGAGGAGGTAGAATGCAGAATCATGTGAATGTCGAACTGTTCTGAGGTAGTGGCAAACCCGTCATGCTGTTTTCATGAAAATATCTGTTTCCATGACCACAGGACAAATGAGATGAAAGATGGTGGAAAGATCACGGTGATGGCGTGGATAAATGATGACAACACCTCGCTGGTGGACATTCAGAGGGAGAAGGTATGAGCCAGAGAACAGAGATTATTATTGTTCATGTTCACAAAAATAGCCCCGCATGAAGAAATGTGTGTGACGGCATTTTTTACACATTGAAGCATGATTTTCTGATCCTCTGTTATCATGTGTGATCCACTGCTATCATGTGTGATGGTCTTGCTTGGCAATGGTATATGGATCTATACCAAAGTGTTGCTATGGAGTACAACAAAGAAGTTGTTATAAAACAATTGTGTCTACTTTGTCATCCATCAACTAAGAAATGCCTATCAAACAATTCATTGTCATGTGGCCAATGAATACCGACCTGTCCCACATAGGCGTCATGTAACCCAGATACGCTTGGTTGTGATACCCTTCTCCAAGTTTTGGGGTACAGCAGTCTCCTTCCCAGCGCCTTAGTTACCCTCCTCATCACTGCTACCAGTCTGCAAGCTCTACAAGAATCTTGAAATTTCCCCTCTAACCCCAAATGTAGTGACATTTATAGTTTTGTGTTTGTCTTCGGGAATGCCATTATAGCAAATTTTGAAGAGGTTTACGCCTGACTTATATTTTCCAGATGAATTTATGTTTGCTTAATCAGATTGGTTCGAGATTGCAGTCGAATGGAAAAGCACCCAACTTCCCCCTTGCATTCTTAATATACTAATTACATGATAGATGAAATGAATTAGAAATTCAAATTGACAAACAAAGAAAATGATGTAGCTGGGGGAAGAGAATTGGCGTAATGGCAGTCATCACTTGTTTGTAAATATAGCGGTCAGTCGGTTGCACGTTTCAACTCCAAGCATGGTTGTGGCCACCTGTCCCACTGGGGAGCTGTGACTGGTGGAAGCAATAGTATAGAGAGCTCCACGAAAGGGGTATTGCTGTGAGGAGCTTGGGGGTACAAGTGTCCATGTTTGCTGTGCAGAGTTGTTTCCCTTGGTCATGCCAGAATCCTCTGACTTGGGTACAAATCCAAGATTTACTGTTTGTTAGAACCATACTAACTAAAGCTCTCAAACTGAAGACCCGTGTAGATCTGGGTAGAGAATAGGTCTTCAGTAACCCATGCTTGCATAAGAGGCGACTATGCTTGGCATAAGAGGTGACTAATGGGGTTGGGTGGTCAGGTTTGGCGACTTAGTTAATGCATGTCATTGTATCCCAATTGTGTGCATTGATGCTCATGATATCAATCACTGGATTGTCTGGTCCAGGCTTGATTATTTATAGATTACTGTCATATTTGTGGAATATAGCTGAGTGAGACGTTACGCAACAAACAAACAAAATCCCATACTGATCCGACACACAAGGAAAGACTACTAGTATCGTGGCATAGACACATCTTCAAGCACTAACCCACTCCCTATATCTGCTGGTTGAGTTAAGTTGGCTGTCCTGAAGCCCACCAACCAATTTCCCCAAACGGTTCATGACACTGAAATAATGCTGTGGTGTTAAACTTAACTCCCTCCGTCACTCACTCCTCCGTGTTGCAGGGATCTGACGGTGCTGCAGCTGAGAATCTGCGCTCGAGACCCAAGTCCCTCAGCAGACACAAGGACATCCTGAAGACCTACTTCGACAATGTCATCAGCAAGACATTCCGCTTCGCCACCAACAACGACAGTCACGTTCTCCAGGTGCAGGAGAATATGGCAGAGAGTAAATGGACGTTGGACATCCCTGCCAAGTTGCTGTGAGTTATACGAAGGCCAAGGCCTGATCTGTGAAGTAGAAATGGTACTATCAAGGGACGGGTAACTCAGGTACTTTGGTCGGGTACTTTGGTCGGGTGGGTCCTGAGTTGGACCCGATTACCCACTGTACTACCTGGACCCATGGTTAGCCACATGATATATTGTGTAATGACAAAAACTCGCTATAGCTCAGTGGTTACACCAGAAGTCGCTAATGTTAGCATTTCTTTTTGACAATGAACACTTTCCTTTTGACTTGTTTATCTATGAGAAAAGATAAAACTTAAGTCAACTCAATACATGTATCTAAATAGTTTTTGATAGGGCTGTGGTAACACAGTTCCCAATCAGACATTTTGTTCCCAACTCTTGAGACCTGCAGTGGGTACCTGGGTAGGGTTGGGTAATAAGGGGTCAGGTTCCCGGGTAGTAAGTTTGGACTCGTTCAAGCCCTTGTACAATCATTACATATCACATATCAACACCTTTGGTCATTGTGATCATGGCAATTTGAGTGACATGTTCGCTCGCAGGGTACATGAAGATTCAGCTTAATGTTAAAGTTGGGGGCACGGGTGGCCCAGTCGTCTAAGGCGCCGCAATTCGCTGTGCAGAGTTGCGTCCCTTAGCGCGCCAGAAACCTATGATTGTGGGTTCGAATCCCAGTTCGCCCCAATTATGTTTCTAGGTTTGTCAGCACCATACCTGTGCTCGTGGGTTTCACCAAAGTGGTAAACGTCTGAGACCTGCATCACTCTTGGCTTTCCTCCCACATTAAGCTGACACGTCGCGACATAACTGGAATAATGTTAAAAGCTGTGTTAAACCCAACTCACTCACTCACTAATGTTAAAGTCTGTTGTACCTACCGGTACTAAACTGTCACATTGCACCATCAACTTTTGCCTTGTCAAAGAAACCACACTAAACTGAGTGTGTCATGGTACCCTTGAAATAAAACTACTCTGTTGTTTCGACCTCATGCTCAACACCTGTGAACTCTGAATCAACCGGTAACTCATGTATTGAGTCTACTGAAATGTATAAATTGTGTCTCCTAATGAGGAGATAAAAATACTGTGTCTTCAATGTAGAGCTAGGCTACCTGTTGAATCAACCACGCTAAATTGAATTTGGAACCGAATGCGTAGTGTGAAGTTTTCTTCTGTTGTCAACACTTACCCATGTTATCCCACTCATGTATGCAATGGTTGTTACTGTTAATCCTCTACTGTTGATCCTCCACCTACTATATGTATTCTGTACAATGTCCCTCATTCAGTATTGCTTGACATTGGTATAAGGATCTATACTGAAACGTTGCTTTTTACAGTATTAAAGAAGTTGTCATCCATAAAATTGTGTCTACCCTGTGTCTACCTTGTTAAATTTACCATGGTCAAATCTACAGGTAACCTATATTAACTATAAAACTAAGAAAACCTGGCACATTTTCATTCTACATCGCACATCACTATTATGACATCATTTCGATCATTGAGACGCAAAAGATATGACGTCACAGTCGCATATAGAAAAGCGCCAAATAGCAAGCTCTCTTTTCTCAAAACTTGAAATACATTCTCTTTGAAGATTTCTATCATGTTTTCTGCACAAAATGTTTTGCCACACATCCCAAGAATATTGTGGTAATGTCAGCTTCCGCGACTCTCACTGACCTATCATAATCGAGTATTTTCCAAAATAATGGTAGAATTGTATAATGGCCTACTGGGAGTTTCCCATAGATAAGCATTCTTTGGAGTCAGAGTCTTACTTAAAATGTTTTATACAGAAGATTCATATTACAGACTATCGTACACATGCTAATGCGAATCATGTTTCTTCTAGGAAGCTGTGGATTGATGAAGAGAAGCAGCGGATATCCCTGCTGCAGGACCTGGGGGAGGTGAGGGCTTATCTCAGTCGGTGCCTGTACTGAGCAGTTGATGATAGGACATTGTTTTTATGTCCAGAACCCTGAACTTATTCAGAATTTGTCATCATGCTGAGCTTGTCATTCCACTGTAAATTTTGGTGGCTTTATCAAATTATTTGTAACCAGCACGAGTATGTCCACATTTTTAGGCTTAAAAAAATAAAAGGATTGGTTCTCAGGCAATGACTTTTGAAAAAATAGTGCAGACGGGCAGTGTTTTTGTTGTTGTTTTTTTGCTTGTTCAAACTAGTGTGTAACCAAGTAAACAGTTGTGTACCATCAATCTGGGAAAGGGCCTCCCTACGTAAACAAGCATACAAACTCCTATTGGAGCCATAACCATAACACAAGAGGCACAGTAAAGCAGTGTGCATTAAAGGGAAGTAACTGCGTCGATCGCATTGTTATAAAGTATTACTATTAGGATTTTTAATATTTTTAAAATGAAAATAAAAATGAAACATGCAGCAGACTCTATGATGATGCCTGAGAACCAAGACTATTATTGTTTTAGCCTTATTCTTGTCACAGCTTTAAAGGTCTGATCAGGCTGCAGAGAGTGGATTGTAGCATCTGCCTGGGAATTATGCACCATCATAAATAAGCATTGCGACATTTTTATTATTACTATTATTACTATTATTAATATCATCATCATCATCATCATCATCATCATTATTATTATTATTATACCACTGGTATGAAATCCAGGTACTGTACTAGTATCTGCTCAAATGTTGTTTTATTTTTGTCCCGACCAGTGGATCTATTTGCATTCCAGTTATCATTCTCAACTCCCTGCACCTGAAGGTGTACTGTCTGTCAGGTGCTCATGGCACATCATGTGGAAATGGCCAGTTTGTTTTTCACTTAATTTACACACTCAGCATTTTGTACAATACTGAGTTTACCAACCTAGTGTCAAAATTCTTTTATAGTTGCAGCACAGAAATTTGTTTAATTCTGACACAAGTTTAGTAAAATCATAGGATACAGAATATGTTCATCTCTTTGTTGTGTGAAGTCCATTTCTGGTGTCCTCCGCCGTGATATTGCTGGAATATTGCTAAAAGCGGCATAATACCAAACTCTTTCACTCACTCACCCATCTCCTTGTTATCCATGATATTATTACTTTATGATTGAACCATGAAGATCCGGGTTAGAGTTGGTCTTTAGTAAGTCATACTTGTCGTAAGAGGCGACTCACAGGATCAGGTAGTCATGCTGACTGACTTGGTTGATGCATGTTAGCGCATCCAATTTCATGGATTGATGCTCATGATGTCAATCTCTGGATTGTCTGGTCCAATTGCTAAGAACGATGCTCATGATGTCAATTTCTGGATTGTCTGGTCCAGACTCGATTATTTACAGACCTCTGTCATGTAGCAGGAATATTGCTGAGTATGTTGCTAAACTACAAATAAAAACAAAAAAGACTTAATGATAAGCTGGAAGAGGGAGTATTGTCCTAGAAACCTGTGTCGAGATGCAGCATGGCCATCATGATAGTGACAATATATATTGTCGCCAGTACTATCAGGGATCTCGACACATCAACAGTGAAGTCTGTGAGCAGGTGAAATCCTTATTACACGTGTACTCCATACGAATTAATCCATTACGTATCCTGAGACCCGTTAAGTTCCGGGGTAGTATAGGTAGGGCTGCAACGAATACACTATGAGGCGAATATGATTCATACCACGAATATAGGGTAACGAATACGAATATTAATTCACAATTACAATATTAAGTCAGCAGTTTATGTATTATTTATTATATTCAGTGACACAATAACATCATAATTTATTTGACATGGTTTGTTAATTATTGATAAATTATACATTTATATACTGCACTTGTCCAGGTACTAGTATCTGCTCAAATGCGACAATGACCAGTGAAAACAATACTATCAAATTAAATATTATGAGAGTGTTGTCACTGAAAGAAATCTATGCATTTAATATGTTGTTATGGATATTTTTAGGTACAGGGTATGTAAATATACATGATAGCATATTCATAAATATTCGATTCTAGTGGCCATGAATATTCAATTCATGAATTGTTACGGTTCGATTCACCGAATATGCGAGTGAATCGGAACAGCCCTAGTCTTCAGTAACCCATGCTTGCTGTACAAGGCGACTTTGCATGTCGTAAAAGGCGACTAACAGGATCGGGTGGTCAGGCTCGCTGACTTGGTTGATGCATGTCATCGTATCCTAATTGCGTAGATAAATGCTGATGATGTCAATCACTGGAATGTCTGGTCCAGACTTGATTATTTTCAGACCGCCGTCATATAGTTGGAATATTGCTGAGTGCGGTGTTAAACAACAATCAAAAGCTTATCTTGAACCACATGCGTTATGAACAGCGTTACATCAAGTCTGTGTTTCAGCGGAGAGCTGCACATGGCAGGGGTCAGTCTGTGTCAGGGAGTGATATACCTGTCTGTTTCAGCTTGTTCCTGAGATAGAGGGAGAGCAAGTGATGTGGATCACTCTAGCTGCAGCCACTGTAGCTTGCTATACCGACATGCTGGACTCGATCACTGATTACAAAGGTTCTAGTGCACTCCGTGTACAGACAATTAGTTAACCCCAATATGCTTGAAACCGTTATTATTGTTAACAGATGTACTTGGCCTAACATGGATACTCATCTACACCACACTAATACGTTCTCTGTCAGACATTTTCAGAAGTCAGTGCTGTGTCACCTTAGACACAAAAGAGGGTGCAACCCTCACTTCTCTAGGCATCCTGCATACCACTTCATGATCCCCTTCACAAAGTTGAAGGGGGATACAGGAATGGGTGCTGTCCATCCGTCCGTCACATTTTGTTTCCCGAGCAGAACTAAAAAACGATGAGAGATAGTTAGAGATTTTTAATTTTTTTATGTTTTCAAGTTTCCATAGCAACAACTTTGAATTAGACTGAAAATAGCAGTATTGCTCCTTTCCGGAGCAGATCTTGAAAACCGTACAACATTTTTTCACCAAACATGGCACATAGATAGGTCTAGTGGAAAAACTGGTGCCTTTTGATAGTTTGGGATTTTTATAAGAATTATTTTCCGAGTTTCCATAGCAATGTCTTTGAATTAGACTGAAAATAGTGATAGTACTTCTTTCTTGCCCTGCACACAACCAGACATGTCATATTTGAGGGGGATATGAGTATTTCATGCTTGTTTGTCTTAGCATACAATTTAAAAAATTGTGAGTCAACTTGTACACTGCTTGTACAAAGTACAAGTAAATTAGACTGGGATTTTCAATAGAACACATGACCATGCATGCTCATAAGCTTAGGTCTAAAATATTATATTGATTTGTCATTCTTTGCAAGAAAAAAGGACCTAAAAGCATTGAAATGTTGGCATATGTGTACAAGATAAACATTTCATGGCATCTGGCGTACTGCACTGCAGCATCCGGAATACCGCTTGACAGGGCTCAGCATCTCCTTGAGGGGTTGGCACCCTCATGAAACACCACATCATCAATATCGGTTAAAGTTTTAAACAATAGCATGTAGCCAACATGAAGGCCCCTTTGGGGAATCTAGTGCTGATTTAGGCCGTGTTTTTAGTGGAATAATACGGATATGTGTGACCTCATGATTTTCTATTTTGTATTGGCTGGCTCAGTATGGTTAAAGGGTTGAATGATTACTTGAATCACTTACTCAAACAAAGGTTCATTGGAAACACACAAAAAGTTTGATCCTTGTAACAGTTAGCCATTTGAATGTCCTTTGTCGTACCAGTTATAAGCAAATTCTCTAAGTGTAACAAATGTTACATTTGGGATAACACTTTCTTAGTAAAGTACAAATTATTGTACTTTTTGGGGTTGAGTCCCATCCTGGATTCGAACCCACACTTGCCAGAGTGAGGCACCTAATCGCCAGCACACAAAGTCAGTTATCTAACCCACTCAGCCACCGAGGCTTTCACAAAAAATAAAAGTCTGACAACTGGTAGTCTAGATCACGTACTTTGTGTACCTCGGACAGGAGTAAATTGGCACTGCTCCGATGGCCGAAAGCTATGAATACACAATGCCATTTAGAAAGTGGTCAAATGTACCAAATGTTATATATGGGATAACACTTTCTTTTTTGGGTTGAGTCGGAATTTCATTTTTCGGTGGCTGATTGGGTTAGACCGCTGACTTTATTTGCTGGCGATTAGGTGCCTTACTCTGACAGTGTGGGTTCAAGTCCGAGATGGGACTCAACCCAAAAGAGTACAAGAATGTGTACACTACTAAGAAAGTGTTATCCCATATATAACATATGTTACATTTGACCACTCTCTAACTGGCATTGTGTATTCAAATTCTCTAAGCTCGCTCCTCTTCGTGCTGAATCATCTTGCAAGATAATTATCTCCCTTGAACTGCATGACTGTGTGAGCCTAATGTGTGCCAGGGAGCATGTCGTCCATCTCCTGTGCCGTGAGACGTAGACCGAGATGTCTCTGTCGGCTACATCAGCATGACGTTCTTTCCTTGACTAACCTGTTTGTTTCTCCTCTAGACAGAGCTCTGAAGCCTTCAGGGCCACCAGGACTTATCAATATGAATGCCACATGTAGTGATCAAAACTTGAAATGATTTAAAACCATGACAATAAATCTACTTATGGGGCAACAAAAATTATAGTGTGGAATAATGTAAAGTTATTTCTTTGTCAATAGGGGAATGATTATTTATTATTGGGTGGGTCATTAAAACATTACACACAGTGAAAGAAGGGGGGTCGCCAAACGTATCTCAACTATATGGATGGGGTATATGTGTGGGGGATGAAACAATGACACAGTACTATTGTTTCAAACAAAAAAGTTATAAGGGACTGGTCATTTAATCTAGGGATGGGGGTCATGAAATAATGTTGCATGTAATTGGCGGGGCCATGAATTCCAGCCTAGTTTGGCAAGGGTGGAAACTGGACTTTTATAGTCAGTTAACTCACTTGCCCAAAAAATAAACTCTTGCTACCTGACATGAGCTAAATGATGTGGCTAATTCTGAGTTTTTATTCCTGCCTTTTTGCCTTTACCACTTCTTATTTGCAAGATATTTTCAAAAGTTTTATCAATTCTTTATCTGTTATGGATGCATCAATTATTAAGTTTTGGTCTCTAGCCTGTGTGTGAGACATCTTAGTCAGGAGCTTGCTGCAACTCTGATACTAACTCGTATGTATCTCTCGCCAGCTGTCGACTGAGTGGGGCAATGTTCGCCAAGAAATGACCGACTTTTGCATGAGTGTGGTGACTACATATACCCAAAACATCTCCTACTTAACTGCATATACAGGTATTAACAAATGGCATATATTGTCTTCAATAGCGTTGAATATATGTATATATTCCATTTAGAAATTAACATGAAAGATTTGTTAGCTGTGTGAGCTGGTAGTTCTGAAAGATATGCCAGCCCTGTCAGGTAGGACTGCATGGTGTTACTGATGTATCAGTAGACTGCAATACTCTTTTCAAACGCTACCTATTGCAATATATATTTCAGTGTTCAGGTATATTGGGTAAAACAAATGTAACAAGTATTGGTATTAATTGTATCATTTAACCTAAATTTGACACAGAAATTCATTCACAAATAATGTTTCCCTTCAAAATTAAATGAGAAAATGGCTGAAACGCAGAAGTGATATTTCTCTCATGTTGTTATCTCCCCTGGCTACAAAATGGCAGAGTCTGACCCACAGGAACTCGTTACTGGTCAGTAAATAAAATTATATTCCCCCTCTATTTAGGGAGTGTATATTTTTATTTACTGACCAGTAACGAGTACCCAATGTACTTAAGGGGTACATATTTTTATTTACTGACCAGTAACGTGTACCCCCTGTACTTAAGGGGTACATATTTTTATTTACTGACCAATAACGAGTACCCCCTGTACTTAAGGGGTACATATTTTTATTTACTGACCAGTAACGCGTACCCCCTGTACTTAAGGGGTACATATTTTTATTTACTGACCAGTAACGAGTACCCTCTGTACTTAAGGGGTACATATTTCTATTTACTCACCGGTAAAGCGTACCCCCTGTACTTAAGGGGTACATATTTTTATATACTGACCAGTAACGCGTACCCCCTTCACTTAAGGGGTACATATTTTTATTTACTGACCAGTAATGAGTACCCTCTGTACTTAAGGGGTACATATTTTTATTTACTGACCAGTAACAAGTACCCTCTGTACTTAAGGGGTACATCTTTTTATTTACTGACCAGTAACGCGTACCCCCTTCACTTAAGGGGTACATATTTTTATTTACTGACCAGTAACGAGTACCCTCTGTACTTAAGGGGTACATATTTCTATTTACTCACCAGTAAAGCGTACCCCCTGTACTTAAGGGGTACATATTTTTATTTACTGACCAGTAACGCGTACCTCTTTCGCTTAAGGGGTACATATTTTTATTTACTGACCAGTAAAGAGTACCCTCTGTACTTAAGGGGTACATATTTTTATTTACTGACCAGTAACGAGTACCCCCTGTACTTAAGGGGTACATATTTTTATTTACTGACCAGTAACGAGTACCCCCTATACTTAAGGGGTTCATATTTTTATTTACTGACCAGTAACGCGTACGCCCTTCACTTAAGGGGTACATATTTCTATTTACTCACCAGTAAAGCGTACCCCCTGTACTTAAGGGGTACATATTTTTATTTACTGACCAGTAACGCGTACCCCCTTCACTTAAGGGGTACATATTTTTATTTACTGACCAGTAACGAGTACCCCCTGTACTTAAGGGGTACATATATTTATTTACTGACCAGTAACGAGTTCCTGTGGACTTACCATGCTGAGTAATATTTACGTTAGTTTGTAGAAAACAGTATCTGCATGTACAGCCAGTGTCATTCACTATCAGACACTTTAGCTCCCAATATATCACAACACAGATCTGTACAATGTGTTGACCAGTACAGAGCTCTAGCCCTGAAGATCATGTAGCTCAAACATTTTTATTCAAATTGGAGCTTGTAAAGAGAGTTTTAGATCTTTGATTAGTATTTTTTATGTTTGTTTACAAGTTCTCCCACAGTTCAGTGTTTGGAGATTCATTAATAATTACATGTACTAGAAAAATAAGACCCAAAATCTTATCTTCAAATTGGTAAAGCATAATTGGGATTTGATCCAACTAATAGAGCATGTAACCTTCTACTTGTACTGGTTATTTATAGTGAGGAACGAACCTGTATAAAATTTCAGCATGATCGGCATGTGCCAACCACTGTGCCACCCTACAACATTAAGGTTAAGTCTTCGGTCATACTCAAGTCTTACTAATGCTGGATGATTGACCCACTTCTACCAGTTTTTCATTATCTAGAGATAGCAGTTATTAAGTTATAGAACATATAGCATTAGGAAATAAAGCCTTTAACAAAAGACACCTTTAAATGTCTCGTACATGGAGAAGGTTCCATGCCCCAGTGTTTACCTGGACTTACAACAGTAGGGGTCCGGGGGTCCTTGCAGGCAGTAGGAGGGCCTGTACAGTAATGAAATGGTGTAGTGTACTGGACGTTTAGATAATAACTTACATGATCATGTGGACAGTGGTCATGATTTATGGACAATCTCATTAAAATCAGATCTTAGTTATCGCTGCCGCTAAACAAAGATCTGAGGACATCCCATTACGGGTCACGTCAGAACGACCTTTCGGGAATTTTGACCGACCAATGAAATGACTGACAAGAAATCGACATTAGCCAATCAGAAGGCAGCTTTCTCAAGCTTTATGACACAAGTTTCAAACTGGCGACTACGCTTTGAAACATATTTTGACGTATTCTCGATTAAAAAAATTAAAACTGATAAGAAGAACATTCTGGAATGGCTTATAGATGGCCTAGATTGTATGGATATAATCATAAAACCCATAAATTGTCGTTCGGAATACCCCGTGTTAAATATTTCGTGGTTGCATGATTAGAAAACACATTCCAACTGTCACTTTCATGATCTGGTAAGCGACGCTCTGATTGGTTGGATGAAAGGTCGTTCTGACGTGACCCGTAATGGGATGTTCTCAGATCTTTTTTAGTGATAGCGACAACTAAGATCTGATTTTAATGAGATTGGATTTATGGATGAAGTTACAGACAACTATTAGTGCTGTTGATGCACTGTAGGTACAATGACTATTATGTGTCCCTTTGGACGCAGAATATTTTCCGCGTCCGTTCTCTACATTTGTGCATACTAGACGCACATTTCTGCATTGCGTAAAACCCTGTGCCCTTTTGGTTGGATCAAATCACAATTATGGTTGTTTAAGGCATTAGACATCCATTAAAATCATACCAATCCAGAATTAGAATCACACAAAAATTCAAATCTATGATTCCGATAACAAATGATTCGATCTCAATACTGTTTCTGTAATGTCTGCTGCATGTTGCATGTTTTATCTTAACATGAATAGCATCCTTTAAATAATCTTAACTTGTGATACAGAGGTCCCACTTTTGATCTCTAGTATTGTGTTTTCTATCCTGTTGTCGACAATGTTTTTACCTTGTAAACTGTTTATGCAGAATGTAAAAATATCATCAAAGTATCACTCCTAACATATTCTTATTAATGAATATAAGTAAATTGTTTCAATAACTGAGATTTTAAATAATCTGTTCTGTGATGCATGAGAATATTACCCAGCATGCTCTGGTCTCCAGGTCCGAGCTTCAAACCGAGCTGTGAGAAGGACAACAAAGAGTTGGAGTTTATCCCCGTCAACCTGCACGTCCAGCGGATGACCGTTGCCTCAGAGGGCAGCGACCATGGTGAGGGGGGTGTGCTCAGTTGGTCAGCAGTTGTATAGATGACAGTTTTTTTATTTATGCTGTTGCAATGTTTCAGTTCGGATGACTTCCTTAAGTATGCTGGGGGCACGGGTGGCCCAGTCGTCTAAGGCGCCGCGATTCGCTGTGCAGAGTTGCGTCCCTTAGGCACGCCAGAAACCTATGATTGTGGGTTCGAATCCCGGTTCGCCCCGATTATGTTTCTAGGTTTGTCAGCACCATACCCGTGCTCGTGGGTTTCATCGAAGTGGTAAACGTCTGAGACCTGCATCACTTCGGGCTTTCCTCCCACATTAAGCTGACACGCTGTGATATAACTGGAATACTGTTAAAAGCGGCGTTAAACCCAACTCACTCACTCACTTAAGTATGCTTCATATTCAGCTCATGTTTTCCTTTGTTTAAAATGGCGCAAATTTCTGACTTCTACGCGGCTGTCTAACACTGCCCACAAGGGCTTGCTAGCTACCGTGAGTTGATTTGCTCGCTAACGCAACTAAGCATGACAAGAGACTGGGCCATTGTCTGTAAGGACAGTGTAAATAAACTGTAAGGCACTATCTATACAAATTTCTGAACACTGATTGGTTACTCGTGATCTATGAAGATTTTGATATTACAAAGGGCGCATGTTAATTAGTTTCTTCAGCCTAAACAAACAGACAAAAAAAACAGCAGAAGGTCGTCAGATGTCATTATTTGGAAATAACCCTGATGGTTATAGTTTAATAAAAATGTATCCTTGCAGTTAAAAGTATTTTCCCATTTTCGAATTGCGTGGATAATAGGATGACTGAGATTGATTTTGATCCTATTTCTGTGTTTCATAGCTTGATATTTTAGGTAACAGAACCATTTGAACCCCTTGCCAAAGCCACTTTGATCCAAATATCAAGAAAAACAGCCTTTTTTCTTGCAATGGTAACAGCGGCTAGAATATCAGAGATCCATGCTCTAGATTTTTCAGCTGTGACGCACGTCTATGACTGGAGCATGATTATGGTCAGATTGCTAAAGATTTTGTCGCTGACTTGGTTGATGCATGTCATCGTATCCCAATTGCGAGGATCGATGCTTATGATGTCAATCACTGGATTGTCTGGTCCAGATTCGATTATTTACAGACCGTCGTCATATAGCTGGAATATTGCTGAGTGCGACGTTAAATAACAAACCAACCAACCAGATTTTGTCACCCAGAATCCGCATCTCTTGGACCACTGGGTCATAGACATTATACAGTTCCTGCATTAGCTCCTTTAGTGGACCATCCAGATCGATTACTGTGTCCAATCCGTACCTTAAAGTGTTTCATGACATCTACAGAACCTCTCAGGAGACATAGAAAGAGACTATTCTAGACAGACTGTAAGAGACATTACTAAGGCTACGAGTGGCGAGGTCTAGAATTTGCAGTCTCAAAAGATAGGTGCACCATTTGATCATCCTAACCACTCAGTACAGGCTACTTAGAAGCAGATTAATTGGAAATGACGTCACAGTAGATTGAGACCAGAAATGATGCCGGAATCGGAAGGGACGTCGCTAATGTTCTCATAACTGGAAGTCACCGGACGTCATAGACCAGACATAGCAGGAAGTGATGCCACAAAACCGGAAATGACATCACAATCGGAAGGAGAAATATGACCGGAAGTGACGTCCGAACAAGAAATGACATAAAATATTACATCATATTGCAGCAAAACCGGAAGTGGCGTGTCACCCGGAAGTGACATCATAAAACCGGAAATGATGATATGAGAGATGGTTTTAGAATTTGTATGACGTCATTTATGCACATTATAACAAATATAACGGTAGGTCTGTTTGTGTTTTGCACATGAAGTTTTCAGTCATCTTGAGGTGATTCAATAGTTTGTTTTTCCACTTCAGGATTGGAAACAACTATTATGGAATGAAATTACAAGAATATTATCCTACTGTCAACTACACTGGGAGTACACCAGAGCCAGAACCTGACTAACCGTCAGGTATATTCTGGCAGTGTTGTTATGGAGTTAGAGGATTCGTAAGAACTATAGGAGCAATAGACATCATTGTTAATAATTCTAAGAATACTACCTCTATCACTTCAGAAGTGCTCCCACCCTCCTCACATTCTTGTCTCTAGATGATAGATGTTTGGGAAAGAAGAAGAGCTGGATGCTGACTGGGTGTCCTATTGTCTTGACAACTAGTCAGTTGACAGTGAAGAGGACTTCTGTTCAAAATTCTGAAGATTAGTTTTTGTGTGATTAGTTTTGATGATGTAACTGACGTAGTATTCTTAGAACTATCAACAATGATGTCCAATGTTCCTCTGATCGTGGGTTCGAAATATGTTTCTAGGTTTGTCAGCACCATACCTTGTGCTCGTGGTTTTCACCAAATTGGTAAACGTCTGAAACCTGCATCACTTCAGGCTTTCCTTCCACCTTAAGCTGACACGCCATGATATAACTTGAATACTGTTCAAAGTGGCGCTAAACCCAACTCACTCACTCACATACTCGATTACAAAGTGGCAATTCTTGGTTCGCTGTTCAAAATACATGGAGTTACCTACTAAGTGTTCATCTTCTTCAGGTAAAGTCTACGATGTGCTTACACATGGAGCTTTTACCGCATTTTGTCAGAAGTTTAAGAATGGAGGTTTAAGAAAACTGCTGCAGTATCAGAAGGACTTCTACTCCTCTCAGAGCACGCTAGGGTTCCGGACCAAGATGCAGCAGGCCTGCTCCCTGCTGAACGAGATAGCCAAGCTGAAGACGGACATTAACCATGGCTGTGAGAGGCTGTGTCACGCGGCCCTCCAGGGAACCGACACACTGCTCCAGACGGAGATGCAGTCACTCACAGAGATTGTAAGTCCCTGACTCAGTGGAAGGGAAGTACCGCAAAACTGGATATTCAATAGCCATAGGGTATTCTATCTGAGGGGTGTAAATTGGTTATTCTATAACCTTAGGGTATTCTTGTAGAGGAGTATATGTTGTTATACTATTGTCATGGGGTATTCTAGGGGAGGGAAGAAGAAATTAAATGAATTTCTGACAATTCTTCAATCGTGGACGCTGTTCCCCAAAGCGATCATGCTGCTATGATTGTCTTAGGTCTGTGTTAAAGTATGGGAGGTACAATCGTCAATGTTGAAGTATGGGAGGTACAATCGTCTATGTTGAAGTATGGGAGGTACAATCGTCTATGTTGAAGTATGGGAGGTACAATATTCTATGTTGAAGTATGGGAGGTACAATATTCTATGTTGAAGTATGGGAGTTACAATATTCTATGTTGAAGTATGGGAGTTACAATATTCTATGTTGAAGTATGGGAGGTACAATCGTCTATGTTGAAGTATGGGAGGTACAATATTCTATGTTGAAGTTTTGGAGGTACAATCTTCTATGTTGAAGTATGGGAGGTACAATCGTCTATGTTGAAATATGGGAGGTACAGTCGTCTATGTTGAAGTATGGGAGGTACAATCCTCTATGTTGAAGTATGGGAGGTACAATTCTCTATGTTGAAATATGGGAGGTACAGTCGTCTATGTTGAAATATGGGAGGTACAATCCTCTATGTTGAAGTATGGGGGGTACAATCATCTATGTTGACGTATGGGAGGTACAATCGCCTTTATTGAAGTATGGGAGGTACAATCGCCTTTGTTGAAGTATGGGAGGTACAATCGCCTTTGTTGAAGTATGGGAGGTACAGTCGTCTATGTTGAAGTATGGGAGGTACAATCCTCTATGTTGAAGTATGGGAGGTACAATTCTCTATGTTGAAATATGGGAGGTACAGTCGTCTATGTTGAAATATGGGAGGTACAATCCTCTATGTTGAAGTATGGGGGGTACAATCATCTATGTTGAAGTATGGGAGGTACAATCCTCTATGTTGAAGTATGGGAGGTACAATTCTCTATGTTGAAATATGGGAGGTACAATCGTCTAAGTTGAAATATGGGAGGTACAATCCTCTATGTTGAAGTATGGGGGGTACAATCATCTATGTTGACGTATGGGAGGTACAATCGCCTTTATTGAAGTATGGGAGGTACAATCGCCTTTGTTGAAGTATGGGAGGTACAATCGCCTTTGTTGAAGTATGGGAGGTACAATCGCCTTTGTTTAAGTATGGGAGGTACAGTCATCTATGTTGACGTATGGGAGGTACAATCGCCTTTGTTGAAGTATGGGAGGTACAATCGTCTATGTTGAAGTATGGGAGGTACAATCATCTATGTTGAAATATGGGAGGTACAACTGTCTTATTTGAAATATGGGAGGAACAATTCTCTATGTTGAAGTATGGGAGGTACAATCCTCTATGTTGAAATATGGGAGGTACAATCCTCTATGTTGAAGTATGGGAGGTACAATTCTCTATGTTGAAATGGGAGGTACAGTCGTCTATGTTGAAATATGGGAGGTACAATCCTCTATGTTGAAGTATGGGAGGTACAATCGTCTATGTTGAAATATGGGAGGTACAATCATCTATGTTGAAGTATGGGAGGTACAATCGTCTATGTTGACGTATGGGAGGTACAATCGCCTTTATTGAAGTATGGGAGGTACAATCGCCTTTGTTGAAGTATGGGAGGTACAATCGCCTTTGTTGAAGTATGGGAGGTACAATCGCCTTTGTTGAAGTATGGGAGGTACAGTCGTCTACGTTGACGTATGGGAGGTACAATCGCCTTTGTTGAAGTATGGGAGGTACAATTGTCTATGTTGAAGTATGGGAGGTACAATCATCTATGTTGAAATATGGGAGGTACAACTGTCTTATTTGAAATATGGGAGGAACAATTCTCTATGTTGAAGTATGGGAGGTACAATCCTCTATGTTGAAGTATGGGAGGTACAGTCGTCTTTGTTGAAATATAGGAGGTACAATTGTCTATGTTGAAATATGGGAAGTACAATCGTCTTATTTGAAATATGGGAGGTACAATTCTCTATGTTGAAGTATGGGAAGTTCAATCGTCTTATTTGAAGTATGGGAGGTACAATTCTCTATGTTGAAGTATGGGAGGTACAATCCTCTATGTTGAAATATGGGAAGTACAATCGTCTTATTTGAAGTATGGGAGGTACAATATTCTATGTTGAAGTATGTGAGGTACAATCGCCTTTGTTGAAGTATGTGAGGTACAATCGCCTTTGTTGAAGTATGGGAGGTACAATCGTCTATGTTGAAATATGGGAGGTACAATCATCTATGTTGAAGTATGGGAGGTACAATTGTCTTTGTTGAAGTATGGGAGGTACAATCGTCTATGTTGAAGTATGGGTGGTACAATCGTCTATGTTGAAATATGGGAGGTACAATCATCTATGTTGAAGTATGGGAGGTACAATTGTCTTTGTTGAAATATGGGAGGTACAATTGTCTATGTTGAAGTATGGGAGGTACAATCGTCTATGTTGAAATATGGGAGGTACAATCATCTATGTTGAAGTATGGGAGGTACAATTGTCTTTGTTGAAATATGGGAGGTACAATTGTCTATGTTGAAGTATGGGTGGTACAATCGTCTATATTGAAATATGGGAGGTACAATCGTCTATTTTGAAGTATGGGAGGTTCAATCCTCTATGTTGAAATATGGGATGTACAATCGTCTATGTTGAAATATGGGAGGTACAATTGTCTTTTTTTTTTCAATATGGGAGTTACATTCAACTTTGTTGAAATATCGGAGGTACAATCTAGTACGAGTGTATGTGCTAATATCGCTTAGTGGAACAGAGCCCTTGACACATACAATCTATGAGCCAGTGACTATAAGTATGCAGTGCTGAAGTGTGTTGTAAAATTTCAATAACATCTCATCTCTGTCTCCAGGTGCGTGAGCTCGTCCGGCTGTGTGAGGACCCAATCTTACAACTATCTGCAGAGAAATACATGCAGGCAAAATCTCCCTCCAACACAGGGGATGGCCTTGACCTTGCAGCCTCCCTGGGACACATGAGTAATGATGGCCGCAATCAAGGTGATAGATCTCCAGAAAAATCCTGGAGGTGGTCAGGAAGTAACTTTGTCAGGAGTCCTACTGTGGAACCTTGGGTAATTTGAGCATTTTTTAAACGATATTTATCATAAAGCCTGGTGTTTTGTAAACATGCATCACTGAAGTACCCAATCATGACTGTATTTTATAGTTGATTGTGTATTAAGGGGTTGCAATCAAATATTCCACTGACATTTATGAACATGGTATTGTTATCATCAGAGATTATTGTGGGTTGTAAAATGAGGTTGTATATGTTTGAAGAAATGGTCATTCATTACTCTTGTAACCTGGTCATTGTTAAGAAATAAGAAATACAGTAAATGGGTTTTAGAAGGTCTCTAAGCCTCTAGAGCCCTAGGACCCTGCATAATTACAAACATTTCTATTAAACTCTGGTTTATTCATCAAAGATCCAGTATTCCTTTGAAATTTGCATAAAACGTGTACCATTTACCTGCAATTTGTCTACACATACCCAGATTTTTATCCTTACCGGTCTACGCTGCTGTGCAAATTGTATGTGTATTGTGCATGTAGAAATATTGCAGCCACATACCGATTGTTCATAATTCTCCATCATTGTAGGTAACATTAAACGTCATCACTCTTCTACACAAATGGCTTATATACGATATATTGTTTTTATTTTCATTTCTATAATTATGTCTTTTTTGAATATTTGTTTTTGTATTTATTACTTGATACAGAGGAGGGCAGCTCACATTCCCATGTATTTTATTCAGGAAGTGACTCGTCTCAACCTGGAGGCAGCCATAGTGTGTCTGGTGTCAAAGGTTGATGAACTGGTGACCAACATGTCATCCTCAGGACAGACCACCAGCTGGCTGAGTGAGCTGAGTCCAGCGGTCATCAAGCTCCAGAGCTTTGTGGAGATAGTGTCCAGTCGGGCCACTCTCTTCCTCACTTTCCTCTCCCTCATGGTAGGTGTCAAATTGGCCATTGGCCTCTCTCTTCCTCCCTCTCATTGTAGTGTCCTGTTGGGCCTATCTGTTCCTCTCCCTCATGGTAGGTATCCAATTGGCCATTGGCCTCTCTCTTCCTCCATCTCATGGTAGGTGTCCAGTCGGGCCACTCTCTTCCTCACTTTCCTCTTCCTCATGGTAGGTGTCCAATTGGCCATTGGCCTCTCTCTTCCTCCCTCTCATTGTAGTGTCCTGTTGGGCCTATCTGTTCCTCTACCTCATGGTAGGTATCCAATTGGCCATTGGCCTCTCTCTTCCTCCATCTCATGGTAGGTGTCCAGTCGGGCCACTCTCTTCCTCACTTTCCTCTTCCTCATGGTAGGTGTCCAATTGGCCATTGGCCTCTCTCTTCCTCCCTATCATGGTAGTGCCCTGTTGGGCCTATCTGTTCCTCTCCCACATGGTAGGTATCCAATTGGCCATTGGCCTCTCTCTTCCTCCATCTCATGGTAGGTGTCCAGTCTGGCCACTCTCTTCCTCACTTTCCTCTCCCTCATGGTAGGTGTCCAATTGGGCCTATCTCTTTCTCCCTCTAATGGTAGGTGTCCATATGGGCCTCTCTCTTCCTGCTTCTCATTGTTGTGTCATGTTGGGCCTCTCTCTTCCTCCCTCTCATGGTAGTGTCTTGTTGGGCCTCTCTTTTCCTCCCTCTCATGGTAGTGTCCTGTTGGGCCTCTCTCTTCCTCCCTCTCATGGTAGGTGTCCAGTTGGGCCTCTCCCTTCCCCATGCTCATACTAGTCAGAAGGACTTGTCAACTTTGTACCCCAAACATAACAATTGTGAATTCTTAGTCATGTGCATAGACTGCCTCTGTGGTCTAGTGGTAGAGCGTAGTGGTAGAGCGGAAGGTCTGGGGTTCGATCCCCGGACCTTTCATACCAAAAGACGTTACAAGATGGTACTTGTTGTTACCCTGTCCGGCACTTGGCATTAAGGGGCTAAAACAAGGACTGGTTGGCTCGGAGTCAGCATACTGTACTATATGCTGAAGTCATCTCACATTCATCTCTGCAGGAAAACAAGGACCACGTGAAGCTGATGCACATGATCAAGAACAGGAGAGACGTAGTCACAGCACATGCCGTGAGTTTATCTGAATCAGTCTTGGGATTAAAGTAAAAAATTTAGTTGACACATAATTTTCGTGTTCAAGTATGTGTCTACACATTATGGGAGGGCATGCTGCAAAATTGCTGACGTAGCATTAAGCAATTAAGCAGTGCAGAGTTGTTTTCCTTAGTGCAGCTAGAAACAGGTGATCATGGGTTTGAATCCCAGATTATGCTTCAAGGTTTGTCAACACCATGCCTATAAGATTCACCAAAATGGTAAACATCTTCAATTTGTATCGCTTTGCGTTTTCCTCCAATATTGAGCTGACACACTAGCTTATATAATACAGGAGTGTTGAGCTTAGGCTGTGGACTGTGTGAAACAGGGGTTAGTATGTGCTGATCAGTTGTTGATAGAGAGGACCTCCTGATTAAGGTAAGCAGTTGTTGATAGAACGAACGTGATGTGGGTAGGCAGTTGTTGATAGAGGGAACCTTCTGATAAAGGGTAAGCAGATGTTGATAGAGGGAACCTGATTAGGGCAAGCAGATGTTGATAGAGGGAACCTGATTGGGGTAAGCAGTTGTTGATAGAACGAACCTGATTAGGGCAAGCAGATGTTGATAGAGGGAACCTGATTATGGTAAGCAGATGTTGATAGAGGGAACCTGATTAGGGTAAACAGTTGTTGATAGAACGAACCTGATTAGGGTAAGCAGTTGTTGATAGAGGGAATCTGATTAGGGTAAGCAGTTGTTGATAGAACGAACCTGATTAGGGTAAGCAGTTGTTAATAGAGGGAACCTGGTTAGGGTAAGCAGATGTTGATAGAGGGAACCTTCTGATTAGGGTGAAAAGTTGTTGATAGAGGGAACCTTCTGATAAAGGGTAAGCAGTTGTTGATAGAGGGAACCTTCTGATAAAGGGTAAGCATTTGTTGATAGAGGGAACCTGATTAGGGTAAGCAGATGTTGATAGAGGGAACCTGATTGTGGTAAGCAGTTGTTGATAGAGGGAACCTTCTGATTAGCATAAGCAGTTGTTGATAGAGGAAACCTCCTGACTAAGGAAAGCAGTTGTTGATAGAGGGAACCTGATTAGGGAAAGCAGTTGTTGATAGAACGAACCTGATTAGGGTAAGCAGATGTTGATAGAGGGAACCTCCTGATTAGGGTAAACAGTTGTTGATAGAGGGAACCTTTTGATTAGGGTGAAAAGTTGTTGATAGAGGGAACCTTCTGATAAAGGGTAAGCATTTGTTGATAGAGGGAACCTGATTAGGGTAAGCAGTTGTTGATAGAGGGAACCTCCAATCTTGGGGGTTTTGCACCTGACCCTCTACTCACTGGTCCCCCTGAGCACAGAATGAGACCCTCATTAGGAACATAATACATAATCATATTTATGACGTCTACATTTTGGTTTCTGGTTTCAGATCACAACACTTGTGAGTGGTTTGGCTGTCAACATACAGACCAACTGCAAGGATGTCAAGTACCTACAACAGCTGATCAACCACGGGGTGATGGCTCAGTTCGAGTCACTGTTGAGCTGTTATGGTGAGGAGCTCGCTATGTTGGAGGACATGACGGTGGCTGTGGAGGACCTGGCCAGTGTCACGTTCTGCTTCGTGGAGGCAAAGGATGATGTCTATGAAGCTGTCCTGTCTCTGCAGAAGTAGGGGACTTTGTTTATAGAGACTGCTTGTTCATAGATGACTTTGTTTATAGAGACTGGTTGTTCAAAATATGTATTTATTGTGAATGGTTGTTCATAACAGTCTTTGTCCACAGCAGTTGGTTGTTCAGAACAGACTTTGTTCATAGTGACATGTTGTTGATAACAGATTTTTATTTATAGAGACTGGTTGTTCATAACAGAATTTGTTCATACTTGATAAATATTAAGATTACTAAGTACAATATCATTTGAAGATTTGCACATATGCTAAACTGTTCAAGATAATATTAGATTGTCAATCCTGTTGTCTGTTTCAGCTCTATCAAGGGAGGCATGTTTCCTGATATAAACAGGTGGGACATTGATGGCCTCCAACTTGCACAAACTCAAAACATGTATAGCATAGACTGGATTCTTATATGAAAACATGTGTTACAAAGAAATGTAGAAGGCATATATTAGACAGGTTTGTGTGTTTATGTTTCAAGAACTCCATGCTGATGGAACCACCTCTGTGGTCTAGTGGTAGAGCGTCTGCCCGGAGGTCTGGGGTTTGATCCCCAGCCGCATCATACCAAAAGAAGTTAAAAGATGGTACTTGTTGTTACCCTGTCTGGCGCTCGGCATTAAGTGGCTAAAACAAGGACTGGTCAGCTCGGAGTCAGTATACTGTGTCTGAGTGGGGTATTCATGTTAAACTGCAGCATGGTATCTCAGTGTGCTAGCACTATAAATCGGCATCAGTCCGGACTAGTACAAGCAGCCACACACACACACACATGCATGCACATCGCTATATAAGAGCAATAATCTTGGACGCGACGTTAAACCCCATTTCACCTCACCTCACCTCCATGCTGCTGGTGTATCATTGTGCCCTGATGGTGCTGATAGTTGCTCATGGTTTCGATCACTGATTTGCTCGGTTCACACACAGTTATTTGTTGGCCTCTGTTTAAGCAGGATATTGCTGAATGCAGCATTAATCTGCACTCACTCACTTCAACTACGAACCACAGGTGAATGTGTAGATCAGTATTGATGCCAATGTTAATGAAGAAAACTATGGGTTTTGAAAAGTTTTTGCAGGCTTTTTCTTCTATGTGTTTGTTGTTGAAGCCTAGCAACAGAAATAAATTGATTTATTGAATGGGCACTGACTGTGAACTAAGAACTTAAACCTACGGGTAATGGGATATAGGCTTGTTGGATGGGCACTGACTGTGCTGTGAACTAAGAACGTAAAGCTTAGGGTGGTGGGATATAGGCTTGTTGGATGGACACTACTGTGAACCAAGAACGTAAAGCTGAAGGTAATGGGATGAAGGCTTGCTGGATGGGCACTGACTGTGAGGTCCTTGAAGATTCGGTTTAGAATAGGTCTTCAGCAACCCATGCTTGCCGTAGAAGGTGACAAACAGGATCGGGTGGTCAGGCTCGCTGACTTGGTTCATGCATATCATTGTATCCCAATTGCGTGGATTGATGCTCATGATGTCAATCACTGGATTGTCTGGTCCAGACTTGATAATTTACAGACCACCATAATAAAGCTGGAATATTGCTGAGTGCGGCTTTAAACAACAAACAAACACTGAACTAAGAACTTTTATAGGTTTCATAGGTTATAGGTTTGTTGGAGAGATTGATGATCTCGTGATTCAACAGTTTGAGCTGAAGGCAAGGGGTCTATTTCTGCTTCCCTCAATTTCCAGACACTGCATCCATGTGGAGATACCAGTCCCACCCCAAACATACAACAACCTTCCCCCCAAGTTGAAACAAGGGAACCACATTAAGGTGGTGCCGGTCATCTTTAGCATCGGCATCAATGAACAGGCCACCCTGGCTGAAAAGTGAGTGATGCATTGTGTATATCATTCTACTGCTAACATGGCAATGTCATAGCTCCTGCCACTTCTACCTTGTGTAAGAGTGAATAATGCATGGGTAACCTAATAGTCTAAAGCACCACAACTTGCAGTGCAGATGTTCGTCTTGTGGCGTGCTAGAAATTTCTGCGAGTGTCCTGCAACACCAATAGTGATATTGCAGCAAGTGTGGTAGACTTATTGTTATGTCTTATCGCGAAATTAAAAATATTTTACAGAAAAACAGTTATTAAATTATCTTAATAAAATATAATAAAAGGAGCCCATAGACTCTCTTTATTTTCAGAAACTGCAGTAATCTAGACTTGCTAACTACTATAGACTTGCATGGGCTCTATTGGATATATTTGATTCAAGGTCTGGCATTTGGTAATGGATGATGTGTTGATTATATACTATCAAAAATGCATTTTTAAAGATCACTTGCTCGCTCTCAGGTGCGCACACACGCACAGTCACACACGACCTCACTCAGGTACACATTGTCTGTGCAGTGTTGGGTACACCATCAAGTCATCATACACTGTTATGTGTCTCTGTCTCACAGGTTCGGCAACACCACCCTACAGGAGAGAGTTAATGCAGAAAGTGTGGCTAAAGTCTTCAATTATTTTGAGAAATATGTGGATGACTTTGGGAAAGCAGGTATGTTTGCATTTCTGATCGTGATAAAGAACACATTCATTGCTCCATAACAATGGTATCAGGGATCTACCTGGGATCTACTATGACTTCTGGGTGTGCCAGACATGATACGGGGTGCTCCCAAGGTGGCTATTGTACCAATAACAATGACCATAATTAAATTGGCTTAAATGTTTGCATCGATTGAAATTGAAGAAAGACAGAATGAATCTTTATTCAGGCATCAGTTGAAAACAGAAAACTGTCCACTGATGCAAATTCCTGTCTGTAGTCCATTGATTGTAGGACATGCTCATGCATTTTGCCAACAGCAGTTTCATTAATGCAACTTATTGCAGTGTGTAAGAAAATTGTGTGTAAGAAAAAGTGTCTTTGAAATCATCACTTTCACTTTCACTTTCTTTTCTTGTATAGGGAATTCTACCATTAATTTGGAAATTACTTGATTCTGATTGGTCAGTCAGAGGTTATTAAATCACAATAAACCAACTCTAATTGAAACAGCTGATTTGATGGCCACATCACCGCGGAAGCTAATAGTCATAGAATAATACTTTTATTATTATATATACAATTATAGGTTACAAAATGCAAAGTTGCGGTAACAATATTCAAAAGATGTGTGGCAATACATTTTGTGGAGAAAGCAGGATTGAAATCTACAATTTGGTGCTTTTCTATATACGACTGTGATGTCATATCTTTGAAGGTGCTAAGTTAAACATTTGAAACCTTGCACTGCGCGTTCAGTTCCAAATTCAGTTGAGCGCGGTTAAATTTACAGGTACGCTCGCTCTACGTTGAAAACACAGTATGTTTATCTCCTAAATATGATTGCTCTTATTGCTTCAACAGGTGAGCCGCAAACGTCTGTATCTCAGCTGACCAAGCAGCTCCATACCAATGTGATGACGAAGAAAAGCAAGAATGTGGAAGTGCTCCACCTGGCAGCAGAGGTGAGATGATGTGGTCGGTTACAGTGTTGAGGTGGGATGGGACAATGTGGTCTGTTACAGTGTTGAGTTGGGATGGTGTGAGGGACATCTGACTGAGTGTCGGTGATGTGGTCCGCTATACCGTTGAGGTGGGATGGTGTGAGGGACATCTAACTGAGTGTCAGCGATGTGGTTGGTTATAGCGTTGAAGTGGGATGGTGTGAGGGACTTCTGACTGAGTGTCAGCAATGTGGTTGGTTACAGTGTTGAAGTGGGATGGTGTGAGGGACTCCAGACTGAGTGTCAGCAATGTGGTTGGTTACAGTGTTGAAGTTGGATGGTGTGAGGGACTTCTGACTGAGTGTCAGCAATGTGGTTGGTTACAGTGTTGAAGTGGGATGGTGTGAGGGACTCCTGACTGAGTGTCAGTGATGTGGTTGGTGACAGTGTTGAAGTGGGATGGTGTGAGGGACTCCTGACTGAGTGTCAGCAATGTGGTTGGTTACAGTGTTGAAGTGGGATGGTGTGAGGGACTCCTGACTGAGTGTCAGCAATGTGGTTGGTGACAGTGTTGAAGTGGGATGGTGTGAGGGACTCCTGACTGAGTGTCAGCAATGTGGTTGGTTACAGTGTTGAAGTGGGATGGTGTGAGGGACTCCAGACTGAGTGTCAGCAATGTGGTTGGTGACAGTGTTGAAGTGGGATGGTGTGAGGGACTCCTGACTGAGTGTCAGCAATGTGGTTGGTTACAGTGTTGAAGTGGGATGGTGTGAGGGACTCCAGACTGAGTGTCAGCAATGTGGTTGGTGACAGTGCTGAAGTGGGATGGTGTGAGGGACTCCTGACTGAGTGTCAGCAATGTGGTTGGTTACAGTGTTGAAGTGGGATGGTGTGAGGGACTCCAGACTGAGTGTCAGCAATGTGGTTGGTTACAGTGTTGAAGTGGGATGGTGTGAGGGACTCCAGCTGAGTGTCAGCAATGTGGTTGGTGACAGTGTTGAAGTGGGATGGTGTGAGGGACTCCAGACTGAGTGTCACCAATGTGGTTGGTGACAGTGCTGAAGTGGGATGGTGTGAGGGACTCCTGACTGAGTGTCAGCAATGTGGTTGGTTACAGTGTTGAAGTGGGATGGTGCGAGGGACTCCAGACTGAGTGTCAGCAATGTGGTTGGTGACAGTGTTGAAGTGGGATGGTGTGAGGGACTCCAGACTGAGTGTCAGCAATGTGGTTGGTGACAGTGTTGAAGTGGGATGGTGTGAGGGACATCTGACTGAGTGTCAGCAATGTGGTTGGTGACAGTGTTGAAGTGGGATGGTGTGAGGGACTCCTGACTGAGTGTCAGCAATGTGGTTGGTTACAGTGTTGAAGTGGGATGGTGTGAGGGACTCCTGACTGAGTGTCAGCAATGTGGTTGGTGACAGTGCTGAAGTGGGATGGTGTGAGGGACTCCTGACTGAGTGTCAGCAATGTGGTTGGTTACAGTGTTGAAGTGGGATGGTGTGAGGGACTCCAGACTGAGTGTCAGCAATGTGGTTGGTGACAGTGTTGAAGTGGGATGGTGGGAGGGACTCCAGACTGAGTGTCAGTGATGTGGTTGGTGACAGTGTTGAAGTGGGATGGTGTGAGGGACTTCTGACTGAGTGTCAGCAATGTGGTTGGTTACAGTGTTTAAGTGGGATGGTGTGCGGGACTCCTGACTGAGTGTCAGCAATGTGGTTGGTGACAGTGTTGAAGTGGGATGGTGTGAGGGACTCCAGACTGAGTGTCAGTGATGTGGTTGGTGACAGTGTTGAAGTGGGATGGTGTGAGGGACTCCTGACTGAGTGTCAGCAATGTGGTTGGTGACAGTGTTGAAGTGGGATGGTGTGAGGGACTCCAGACTGAGTGTCAGCAATGTGGTTGGTGACAGTGTTGAAGTGGGATGGTGTGAGGGACATCTGACTGAGTGTCAGCAATGTGGTTGGTGACAGTGTTGAAGTGGGATGGTGTGAGGGACTCCTGACTGAGTGTCAGCAATGTGGTTGGTTACAGTGTTGAAGTGGGATGGTGTGAGGGACTCCTGACTGAGTGTCAGCAATGTGGTTGGTGACAGTGTTGAAGTGGGATGGTGTGAGGGACTCCTGACTGAGTGTCAGCAATGTGGTTGGTTACAGTGTTGAAGTGGGATGGTGTGAGGGACTCCAGACTGAGTGTCAGCAATGTGGTTGGTGACAGTGTTGAAGTGGGATGGTGTGAGGGACTCCAGACTGAGTGTCAGTGATGTGGTTGGTGACAGTGTTGAAGTGGGATGGTGTGAGGGACTTCTGACTGAGTGTCAGCAATGTGGTTGGTTACAGTGTTTAAGTGGGATGGTGTGCGGGACTCCTGACTGAGTGTCAGCAATGTGGTTGGTGACAGTGTTGAAGTGGGATGGTGTGAGGGACTCCAGACTGAGTGTCAGTGATGTGGTTGGTGACAGTGTTGAAGTGGGATGGTGTGAGGGACTTCTGACTGAGTGTCAGCAATGTGGTTGGTTACAGTGTTGAAGTGGGATGGTGTGAGGTACTCCTGACTGAGTGTCAGCAATGTGGTTGGTGACAGTGTTGAAGTGGGATGGTGTGAGGGACTCCAGACTGAGTGTCAGCAATGTGGTTGGTGACAGTGTTGAGGTGGGATGGTGTGAGGGACATCTGACTGAGTGTCAGTGATGTGGTTGGTGACAGTGTTGAGGTGGGATGGTGTGAGGTACATCTGACTCAGTGTCAGCAATGTGGTCGGTTACAGCGTTGAGATTTGATGGTGTGAGGGACTCATGACTGAGTGGGTTAAGGTGGTAGCGAGGTTGGATTGTGCTGTGGGTTAAGATGGTATGGGGTGGAATTGTGTTGTGGGTTAAGGTGGTAAGGAGGTGAGATTGTGTTGTGTGGTAAAGTGGTATGGGGTGGAATTGTGTTGTGTGGTATGGGGTGGAATTGTGTTCTGTGGTATGGAGTGGGATTGTGTTGTGTGGTATGGGGTGGGATTGTGTTGTGTGGTATGGAGTGAAATTGTGTTGTGTGGTATGGAGTGGGATTGTGTTATGTGGCATGGAGTTGGATTGTGTTGTGTGGTAAGGAGTGGGATTGTGTTGTGTGGTATGGAGTGGGATTGTGTTGTGTGGTATGGAGTGGGATTGTGTTGTGTGGTATGGAGTGGGATTGTGTTGTGTGGTAAGGAGTGGGATTGTGTTATGTGGCATGGAGTTGGATTGTGTTGTGTGGTATGGAGTGGGATTATGTTGTGTGGTATGGAGTAGGATTGAGTTGTGTGGCATGGAGTGGGATTGTGTTGTATGGTAAGGAGTGGGATTGTGTTGTGTGGTATGGAGTGGGATTGTGTTGTGTGGTATGGAGTGGGATTGTGGTATGTGGCATGGAGTTGGATTGTGTTGTGTGGTAAGGAGTGGGATTGTGTTGTGTGGTATGGAGTGGGATTGTGTTGTGTGGTATGGAGTGGGATTGTGTTGTGTGGTATGGAGTGGGATTGTGTTGTGTGGTAAGGAGTGGGATTGTGTTATGTGGCATGGAGTTGGATTGTGTTGTGTGGTATGGAGTGGGATTATGTTGTGTGGTATGGAGTAGGATTGAGTTGTGTGGCATGGAGTGGGATTGTGTTGTATGGTAAGGAGTGGGATTGTGTTGTGTGGTATGGAGTGGGATTGTGTTGTGTGGTATGGAGTGGGATTGTGGTATGTGGCATGGAGTTGGATTGTGTTGTGTGGTATGGAGTGGGATTGTGTTGTGTGGTATGGAGTGGGATTGTGTTATGTGGCATGGAGTTGGATTGTGTTGTGTGGTATGGAGTGGGATTGTGTTGTGTGGTATGGAGTGAGATTGAGTTGTGTGGCATGGAGTGGGATTGTGTTGTATGGTAAGGAGTGGGATTGTGTTGTGTGGTATGGAGTGGGATTGTGTTGTGTGGTATGGAGTGGGATTGTGTTGTGTGGTATGGAGTGGGATTGTGTTGTGTGGTTAGGAGTGGGATTGAGTTGTGTGGTATGGAGTTGGATTGTGTTGTATGGTAAGGAGTGGGATTGTGTTGTGTGGTAAGGAGTGGGATTGAGTTGTGTGGTATGGAGTTGGATTGTGTTGTATGGTAAGGAGTGGGATTGTGTTGTGTGGTAAGGAGTGGGATTGTGTTGTGTGGTATGGAGTTGGATTGTGTTGTGTGGTAAAGAGTGGGATTGTGTTGTGTGGTATGGAGTGAGATTGTGTTGTGTGGTAAGGTGGTATGGGGTGAAATTGTGTTGTGGGTTAAGGTGGTAAGGAGGTGGGATTGTGTTACAGTTAAAGTGGTATTGTGTTGATGGAGTGATGTTTTCAAGATGCCTCTGTAATGCTGCAGGTGTGCCGCAAGCTGAAGGGAGTGAGGTTTGCATGCTGTAAGAGCGGCAAGGACCGGACCTCCATGTCCGTCACCCTGGAGCAGGTGCAAGTTCTGCAGCAACAACACGACCTGGCATCCCACGTCTTCTGGCAGTCACTTGACTGCTTCAGGAGGTAAGTCAAACATCAAGATTCCATCCATTACAAAACGTAATCTCACATAACGATCATAACTCACATATTGTAGCATGGATATATAAGACACACAGTCACCAAGCAAACAACTTAAAGCTGCAATCCATAAAATCTGTTACATTTGTCTCAGAGGTTTTAATATTTTTCTGAATTTTGATTCCAGTGTTGGCTGCAGGCGAGATAATACACACAAGAATACTGGTGTTAGGAAGTATGCCTTCAACAGCCTGCAGATGCTGTATGTACCTAAGCTCTACCGGGCACCCAATGGAACTTACGGGAACATACAGACTTGATGTGCCTTGGGTACATAGCAGAGATAAGGTGTCTCTCAGGCACATCAAGTATCCAAGACTGATCACCACATGGTACCCATGGCAACATCTAAACATAGCTATGTTCACACCTGTTATCACTCACTTCTCACAATGCCAAAGGTACACTTCATCCTGTTTGATGTTTACTTTTAGTAAATTATTTGGAATTCCAATTGTTTCCACTGTTGATGCATTGAAAACCACTGTGGCATCTGATTCTTATACATCATTAACCAGTTTATTCATGATCCTGAGTACATGTATCTAACTCAAATTGTGACAGGCTTCTATAATTTGTTAATGTTGTTCTCCTTCTTGACTGTTAGGGAAATGTGTTTCATTGCCTTAATATTGAAAAGTTTGAATTCAAATCTGATTTCATTTGTATCATATATACCCCTGTTAAATTTTGTTCATGAATATTTTGTGAAAAATGTCTCTCTGACAATGATGTCTTTATTTGAAACAAAATGTGGTGTCATTTATGTATTGATGCAGAAATAGATAGCAGCCATTTTATTCACTCAATCCACATCTTAGGCCCAGGGCACCTGTCCTGCCCAAGAATCAAATGAATGGGGAATGAACAATCCCGGGTTCCACTTGATATTGTCATCATGCTTCTTGACAGCCTTGCCCTCAACCTGTGAAGATCCAGGTTAGAATAGGTCTTCAGCAACCCATGCTTGTTGTAAAAGACGAATAATGGGATCGGGTGGTCAGCTTGCTGACATTGGTTGATACCTGTCATCATATCCCAATTGCTTTGATTGATGCTTATTATATTTATCACTGGATTGTCTGGTCCAGACTCCATTATTTACAGGCAGCTGTCATATAGCTGGAATATTGCTGAGTGTGGAGTTAAACAACAAACTGTCTTGCCCTCAAACATGATCTCACAATGATTTGTTGCAAAAGTGTAGTGTATCGTGGACATATTATTTATAAACTTAGATTTTCTTGCAATAGAATTATGAGGTATTTCACAAGAACTTGGATGCTTGATGCGTTTAGAATTGGAGAAAGTTACCTTGACCTTCATGATTGAGGAATGAAGGTTGGACAGGACTTACCGGTAGTTAAGTATTACATACTTCACTATTTGTTTACAATGGTTCATGTGTTTACATTTTGGCAAATTGTGGTTTCCATTTATTTCATTTCTGTTGTTGATATATGACAGAGATTTCTCCTCAGACATTAAGTGATAGTATACAAAGACACATGATTGCACATCACTACAACATCACATGGTCGTATGACAAGTTCAGTCTGTGTAATTCAAGACTGAAATGCATGTATTACCTAGACCTAGCATATTGCCATTCAAGATCACTTGTACAGACACTGGAACTAGTGTACAAGGCTCTGTGTTGTTCACTGTATGCTGTGCCCCTCCAAATGTCTTTCACACTTCATGTTACTGTCATTGTGGTTAAAAAAAGTATTGATTTTAAATTTAGTTTCATGGCAAATACTCTGTATGTATGTTAGGGGCCTGTGGGTGGAGAGGTTGAGCAAAATTCTCTGTGTGAAATTTCTTGAGAAAAAACAAAGTTTGGTGGGAAAAATTGGGGAACCCACCTGCTCCCGGCTGTGTGTTTATTTTCAGTGCAATAAAGTATACAAATAGTTTATTAGGGTACATAGAAAGTAAGCACTTATATTTACTTTTTCCCTTTAAGTACTTACTTATGTAGACAAGTAGGTATATGAAACGATGTGTTTCAAATACTGATTGTAAGACAACTGTTTCTTTACCATGGTACCCAACAACTATCATGTTCCTGTCGCCTTACAATTATTCTAAAGAATCTAACGAGACAGTATTATGCTTTCTGGGTTCTTCATCTCAGAATGTAATGCAATGCAGAATGCAAAACTGTTGGTCATTTTGAATGGACCTGCTGTAGTTCTGTACAGTTTGTGTACAAAGCTACATGTAAATGGACTGTGGATATACCTGTCACGTAGATGCAGTGCAATATAAAATCAAAGCTCCATGCACCCTGAACTTGTCTCCCAGCATTGGACTGGTATTGGAATACCACACATATGTGCGTGCGTGCGTGCGTGCGTGCGTGCGTGCGTGCGTGCGTGCGTGCGTGCGTGCATCTGTGCGTGCATGCGTCCGTGCGTGCGTGCGTGCGTGTAATGTATGTATGTATGTATGTATGTATGTATGTATGTATGTATGTATGTATGTATGTATGTATGTATGTATGTATGTATGTATGTATGTATGTATGTATGTATGCCATAAATGAACCATTGTACATGACAGACAAGATCAGTCGTATGAATTTGAGTCAAGTATTATGAAGGTCATACTCTTAAAGTATCAGCTATGTTAGAACATCTTCATCTGATTCTTTTCATGTTGGTGCAAGGGGAGGAGTGTTTGTGTGGGGCTGACAAGGGTTTCTGCTGTAATTGGCCAAAAATTCAAAGCTATTTTAATGTTGTTATTTATGGTCTTTTCTGCTAAATGAACATAATTTGAGACATTCTTCAAAACTGTCATTACACTAATTTGCTTATTTGACAGAAACCACTTAGTTGTTTCAGTAAGGATGAGTACATATGTCAGTTCACATCACATTATGGTGGTACAAGACCTGTGAAAATCCGGGGTAGAATAGGTCTTCAGCAACCCAAGCTTGCTGTAGAAGGCAACTATGCTTGTCGTATTCAGCGACTAACAGGATCGTGTGGTCAGGCTCACTGACTTGGTTGATGCATGTCATCGTATCTCAATTGCGAAGATCGATGCACATGATATCAATCACTGGATTGTCTAGTCCAAACTCGAATATTTACAGACCGCCATCATATAGCTGGAATATTGCTGACAAACAAACAAGGATCAGATCAGATGGTACTTTGGTCAGGTCACGTACTGACTGTATGGAACATTGCAGGTAATGAAGGTATGGTACTTGTAATGGGTCTAAAATGCTTAGATTCCTCCCTGTCCAATATGTGTGATATGAAATGAAAACAATCAACAGTGCAATGTACAAGTCATTGCATAGCTGTGAGCAGATGGGTTATGAAGAAGCATGGCACTATATGCTGGAGAGTAGAGAACATGCACATTTTGCAATATGAAAGGGTATCTATTAAGAATAATCATCATGTATATCTATACTGTAAAGAAAGAAACACCGATTTCCACACTGTTATTGCGCAGTAACTTGCATATCTATTGAAATAGTTTATTATGACAGAAGTATTACTGTTATCAATATGTCAACCAATCATTAATCAATGTTAATAAAGTGTGTTGACCTTGTCTGTTTACTATTGTTTATGCATTCAATCATGTTTCTGTCATCAAGGAAATTGGAGACCTTCATGGTATCGTGAATAGAGCACCTGCCCAGAGAAGGTCGGAAGGTCGGGGATTTCGATCCACAGCAGTGTCATACCAAAAGACGTTAAAAGATGGTACTGGTTGTTACCCTGACTGGCAATCCTAATGGGATCAAACAAGAACTGGCCAGGCTGGTGTCAGCATACTTTATCTCAGTAGGGTATCGATATTAAACTGGTACAGCATATGTCTCTACCACATATTGCTTGCATCAGAAAGTCCTCTGCCCAAGTTCACTGATTGTATTCCGCGTCGACATCATTTGTACGCAATCTACATATCTAAAGAGGTAAACCTTCCAAATACAAACATAGATATGTCAGTACTTTTTTACGATTCAATTTTAGAATATCTTCAAACTCTATCATCAAAAGAGAAATCAAGGAATTTATATAGCTGCTAATGACGGCTTCATTTTTCGCCGTGTTGGGGTCAGTTGTCTTATTTCTTGTTGCAAAAGCGGGAAGGAGAGAACCTCTGGGTTTGGGCCCAGCACGCTTCCACTGCGCCACTCTGCTCTTATTTCATCTACCTAGTGCTACGACATATGTGTCTGTTACATATTGCTTTCATCAGAAAGTCCCCTGGACATGTCCACTGATTGTATTTCCTGTTGACGTCATCTGTACGCAATCTAGATGTCTAAAGAGGTATAACTTCCAAATACAAGCATAGATATGTCAGTGCGATTTTACGATTCATTTTTAGAATGTCTTTAAACGCTAACATCAAACAAAAAATTGAGGAATTGATATAGCTGCTAATGAAAGCTTCATTTTCGTCGCGTTGGGGTGAGTTGTCTTATTTCTTGTTGCAAAAGCGGGAAGGATAGATAAACCTGTAGTTAGCAGAGCGTGGTTTCGATCCACGGACCTCTGGGTTATGGGCCCAGCACGCTTCCACTGTGCCACTCTGCTCTCATTTCATCTACCTAGTGCTACGACATATGTGTCTGTTAACTATTTTTTGCATCAGAAAGTATTCTAGACATGTTCACTGATTACATTGCGTGTAAACACCATTTGTCCCCAATCTAAGTGTCTAAAGATCTAAACCTTCCAAATACAACCATGGATAGTTCAGAACTTTTTTACGATTCGTTTTTAGAATGTCTTAAAACGCTAACATCAAAATAGAAATCAAGGAATTTATAAGCCTGCTAATGAAAGGTTCATTTTCGTCGTGTTTGGGTGAGTTGTCTTATTTCTTGTTGCAAAAGCGGGAAGGAGAGAAAAAGGTGTAGTTAGCAGAGCGTGGTTTCGATCCACGGACCTCTGGGTTATGGGCCCAGCACACTTCCACTGCGCCACTCTGCTCTCATTTCATCTACCTAGTGCTACGACATATGTGTCTGTTACATATTACTTGCATCAGACAGTCATCTGGACATGTTCACTGATTACATTGCGTGTAAACGCCATTTGTCCCCAATCTAAGTGTCTAAAGATCTAAACCTTCCAAATACAACTATGTATAGTTCAGAACTTTTTTACAATTCGTTTTTAGAATGTCTTAAAACGCTAACATCAAAATAGAAATCAAGGAATTTATAAGGCTGCTAATGAAAGCTTCATTTTTGTCACGTTGGGGTGAGTTGTCTTATTTCTTGTTGCAAAAGCGGGAAGGAGAGAAAAAAGGTGTAGTTAGCAGAGCGTGGTTTCGATCCACGGACCTCTGGGTTATGGGCCCAGCACGCTTCCACTGCGCCACTCTGCTCTCATTTCATCTACCTAGTGCTACGACATATGTGTCTGTTAACTATTGCTTGCATCAGAATGTATTCTGGACATGTTCACTGATTACACTGCGTGTGAACGCCATTTGTACGCAATCTAGATATATAAAGAGGTATAACTTCCAAATACAAGCATAGATATGTCAGTACTTTTTTTACGATTCATTTTTAGAATGTCTTAAAACGCTAACATGAAACGAAAAATTGAGGCATTTATAAAGCTGCTGATGACGGCTTCATTTTCGTCGTGTTGGTGTGAGTTGTCTTATTTCTTGTTGCAAAAGCGGGAAGGAGAGAAAAAGGTGTAGTTAGCAGAGCGTGGTTTCGATCCACGGGCCTCTGGGTTATGGGTCCAGCACGCTTCCACTGCGCCACTCTGCTCTCATTTCATTTACCTAGTGCTACGATATATGTGTCTGTTAAATATTACTTTCATCAGACAGTCCTCTGGACATGTTCACTGATTACATTGCGCTTAAACGCCATTTGTCCCCAATCTAAATGTCTAAAGATCTAAACCTTCCAAATACAACCATGGATAGTTCAGAACTTTTTTACGATTCGTTTTTAAAATGTCTTAAAACGCTAACATCAAAATAGAAATCAAGGAATTTATAAGGCTGCTAATGAAAGCTTCATTTTCGTCACGTTGGGGTGAGTTGTCTTATTTCTTGTTGCAAAAGCGGGAAGGAGAGAAAAAGGTGTAGTTAGCAGAGCGTGGTTTCGATCCACGGACATCTGGGTTATGGGCCCAGGACGCTTCCACTGCGCCACTCTGCTCTCATTTCATCTACCTAGTGCTACGACATATGTCTGTTACATATTACTTGCTTCAGAAAGTCCCCTGGACATGTCCACCGATTGTATTTCGTGTTGAGGCCATCTGTACGCAATCTAGATATATAAAGAGGTAACCTTCCAAATACAAGCATAGATATGTCAGTACTTTGTTACGTTTAATTTTAAGAATGTCTTAAAACGCTAACATCAAACGAAAAATTGTGGCATTTATAAAGGTGCTAATGACGGCTTCATTTTCGTCGTGTTGGGGTGAGTTGTCTTATTTCTTGTTGCAAAAGCGGGAAGGAGAGAAAAAGGTGTAGTTAGCAGAGCATGCATTCGATCGGCGGACCTCTGGGTTATGGGCCCAGCACGCTTCCACTGCGCAACTCTGCTCTCATTTCATTTACCTAGTGCTGCGACATATGTGTCTGTTATATATTGCTTGCATCAGAAAGTCCTCTGGACATGTTCACTGATTACATTGCGCTTAAACGCCATTTGTCCCCAATCTAAATGTCTAAAGAGGTATAACTTCCAAATACAAGCATAGATATGTCAGTACTTTTTTACGATTCACTTTTGGAATATCTTCAAACTCTATCATCAAAAGAGAAATCAAGGAATTGATATAGCTGGTAATGACGGCTTCATTTTCGTCGCGTTGGTGTGAGTTGTCTTATTTCTTGTTGCAAAAGCGGGAAGGAGAGAAAAAGGTGTAGTTAGCAGAGCATGGTTTCGATCCACGGACCTCTGGGTTATGGGCCCAGCAAGCTTCCACTGCGCCACTCTGCTCTCTGCTCTCATTTCGTCTACCTAGTGCTACGACATATGTGTCTGTTAACTATTGCTTGCATCAGAATGTATTCTGGACATGTTCACTGATTACACTGCGTGTGAACGCCATTTGTACGCAATCTAGATATATAAAGAGGTATAACTTCCAAATACAAGCATAGATATGTCAGTACTTTTTTTACGATTCATTTTTAGAATGTCTTAAAACGCTAACATGAAACGAAAAATTGAGGCATTTATAAAGCTGCTGATGACGGCTTCATTTTCGTCGTGTTGGTGTGAGTTGTCTTATTTCTTGTTGCAAAAGCGGGAAGGAGAGAAAAAGGTGTAGTTAGCAGAGCGTGGTTTCGATCCACGGGCCTCTGGGTTATGGGTCCAGCACGCTTCCACTGCGCCACTCTGCTCTCATTTCATTTACCTAGTGCTACGATATATGTGTCTGTTAAATATTACTTTCATCAGACAGTCCTCTGGACATGTTCACTGATTACATTGCGCTTAAACGCCATTTGTCCCCAATCTAAATGTCTAAAGATCTAAACCTTCCAAATACAACCATGGATAGTTCAGAACTTTTTTACGATTCGTTTTTAAAATGTCTTAAAACGCTAACATCAAAATAGAAATCAAGGAATTTATAAGGCTGCTAATGAAAGCTTCATTTTCGTCACGTTGGGGTGAGTTGTCTTATTTCTTGTTGCAAAAGCGGGAAGGAGAGAAAAAGGTGTAGTTAGCAGAGCGTGGTTTCGATCCACGGACATCTGGGTTATGGGCCCAGGACGCTTCCACTGCGCCACTCTGCTCTCATTTCATCTACCTAGTGCTACGACATATGTCTGTTACATATTACTTGCTTCAGAAAGTCCCCTGGACATGTCCACCGATTGTATTTCGTGTTGAGGCCATCTGTACGCAATCTAGATATATAAAGAGGTAACCTTCCAAATACAAGCATAGATATGTCAGTACTTTGTTACGTTTAATTTTAAGAATGTCTTAAAACGCTAACATCAAACGAAAAATTGTGGCATTTATAAAGGTGCTAATGACGGCTT